ACGTTCTAATCTTGAAAGTCTCACATTCAATTATGTATGTCTTATTTATGGTAGAGGTAAAAGGGTTTTTATGACTTTTTTTTAACATATGTACTTCTATCCCAATTATTTTAAAAAGTATACTTTTATCCTATTAAATTTTTTGGGAGGTATCGGTCTCCCAAAACCCCTTATAGGATATTTTCCAAAAAAGAGCTAGCGAGGATAATTGGATAAGCTTCGGTAACGACCTATCTCCTCAGCCCAATATGGATCATACCTTAGGCCCACACCATGTCTGGTAGGCCAACCTAATTGACCTTTAATGGGCGAACTAAAGGTCGATCTATTGGCTTAAGTTTTTTTGGAGGGCGGTCCACAATTGTGGACTTTTTGGTTAATAGGTAGAGGTGTGTTTGTTTTTAGGGCTTAAAAGATAATTTAAAACATAAAGACTAATTTACCCATAATAATATAAATAGTTATATTATAAAATAAACATTAATAGTAACAACAAGACAATAATATTAAGTCAGTAATATAGGACAATGATATTAAGACAGTAACAGTTACAATGATAGTAAATTTTTATTGTCATTGTCGGGCGTTATTTTTTTAGGTCATCAAGGACAATTGGAATCATAATTACTATTCTACCCTTAATGATATGATGAGCGATATTATGAAATAAACAGTGACAATAACATAGTCACAGTGACAATGAGACACAGTAACCTAGTTACAATAACATAGTGACGATAACAATGACACAACGACAGTGATGCAGTCCAAATTCCATGGAACTAGACATTGATAGTGATAGTAAAAATGAATTTTTATTATTACTATTCATTATCATTATCTAAAGTCTACATGATAGTGATTAAATTTTTATTGATGCATTTTATTGAACACCATTTGAACGTAACATAAAAGCTAAAGAATGTTACCAAAGCAAAAAATAATTTGAAACAAAGAATTTGAAGAAAAAAATTTGATTGACAAATAAAATCACTATAAACCAAAATTGCCTCACAGATTCACTGCTGACAGCTCAAAAACTTCGGCAAAGGTGATGATGCACAAATTGGTTTGAACACCATTTGTCAAGTATGCAGTATAAAATTCAGTAAAATAAGTAGAGGAAGAAAGAAGACAAGATTTATAGTAGTTCAGTCAACGTGACCTACGTCCACTTTAAATGACAAGGGTCGCTGGTATTTTATTATCTCCGATGTGGAAGGAGAACAGAATATTACAAACTTTGAGAGATGAGGAGAAAATTATCTCGAATGAGTCTAATGCCCCCCCAAATATTGGTGGGGCTTACAATTTATAGTGGTTTAGTGTAGCAATTGAATAGTTAGTCTGACGATCATAACGGGTTGGGACCGTTTAATAGTCATAACGGATTGTGGTGACTTTAACAGTGATTAAATAGCTTGACGACTTCTCCTCTCCTCAACGGATAGAGAAGTTATGATGTTCTTCAAAAGACTTGGTTAAAGGATGAGAGAATGTTGACTCTCTCCAAACAGTGAGGGTGAAGCTCATGGATGCTCCCTTAGTGGCGTAAATGAGGCTCTTGGATGACCCTTACTCTAAGGTGGTAGAGGAAACTCTTTGATGACTTTACATACTCCTTGCTGATGTTGCTTCTTGATTCTTGATGAGCTTGTTTGGGTTGACCGCATTAAGCTAGACTTGTTGGATCTCTAGGAGATGGACGATAAACTCGGACTTGACTTATAATTTGAGTTAGGCCATTGGGCTTAACCCATTTTCAACACTTCTCTTTTCACTATTTTTTTCTATGAGTAATGCTATTTGGATCTAAAAATTTGACATAATTTGTTGACATAATGATGTAGCTTAATAAGAATCATTGGATCAACACCAAATTCCAATGTTTGATGAGGCCTACAACCAATCCAAAGGTCACAGTGAATTATGTCAAATTTTTAGGTTCCAATAACATTACTCTTTTTTTATTATGTGTTTTTCAAATTCCATTTTGACGACAATAAGAGGTGAGAAATTGCTTGGAGGTGTTCGTTAGGAAAAAGAAAGAGAATGACCCTCCACAATATTTCATATTGTTGGAAAGGTAGGTGAACATCGAATTAATGACTTAATTATTTGAGATATTTGTTCTTAATGACTTCAAAAATTTGTGTTTGTCCTTATTTCCAAAAAAGATTGGGAAAGTGTACTTGATTGCAATTTTTGTTAAGTTTGTTTATAAAAAATTTAAAAATTATTCATACTACTATAAAATGTCAACAAAAGTAAAAAAATTTTGATTGACCATAATGCCCCTATAAAAAAATCGAAAACAACTATATCATTATGTATTTAATTATCCAATACTAATTAAATATCCAAATGACTCTTTATATATTTCCATTTTCACACAAATTAAATATCTATATCTATACACTACTTCTAAAAGGCCACTAAGCCAAAAAACTTTTGATTACCATAATTATCCTCTAGCATTTCTTAAATATCCAAATTACTAGTCACATGAATAAAATATATAACACTAATTGTCCATTATACTATGCATTTATTTCTTTCAAAAGTGTGGTGACTCTTCCATCTCTCTCTATATTTTTTCACCAGCTTCCAAATTTTTTTCAGAATAATGAATTATTATTGTGAGAATTTAATTGCTACTCATAAGTTAGGGAGAAAGAAAGAGTTAACTAAAGAGATCTTTTGTATTTTAGTAGCCCAATAGCCAAAACCCTCCATCTTCTACACGTCCATTCATTTCCTCCTCAACCCTTTAAATTGTCGCCCTACTTCTCCCACTTAGTGTCTCACTTGCTCATCCACTTCATGGCTTACTATGTTTTCTTCATCTTTTTCACAACCTTGGTACATATATTTTTTTGTCATCCCACAATATTCACTAACCGCTTTCTCTCCGAAAACCTATTCTATAGTACCCATCATCTCCTCAAACCCAATCTAATATAGGAAGAAAAAAAGGCGAGCAATGAAATATTTATTTTCTTAAATTTTACATTCAATGTATTTTCTTGCTTGAGCAGTAGGAAGAGGAAAAGCAATTCACCACATGCATGGAGTTGGCGGTAAATTACCTTCTTTGTCATTTAAAAATGTAAGTGAACTCTTTGGACTAAGAAATGTCTAAGATTGAATTTAGTTTGTGGTGATTATGGTGTTGTATACATAGATTTGTTTGTACTAACAGTACATGGTATGTTTGTTGCAAGCTCAAGAATCATTGAGGAGTACAGAGTACCCTCAATTGTTTCCTCTCCTGCAAGAGGTGAGTGATTTTATGGTTTTAGAGTTGGTAGTTAGCAGGGTTTTGTTGCATTTTTAAAGATAAACTAATGATCTTCTTGGTAGATGTTTTCATATAGGAGTGAATTTAAAGATCACACACTCAAAGGCTTATGCTCATTGAAGAAAGATCAGATGAGTTTGTAGAAACACTAGCTCTTGATAACATGGAAGTCATGGCTTGGATCTAAAATATGATATCATACAATTAAATTTTGATTAAATAATAGTCCTCAAATTTCAACTTGAAGGCATAAGTTCCATGCCTATGTGAAGAATGGACAGGACCAGCAGGTTTTACCAACAAGTTTGTGGATTATTTCACTTAGTGCGACCAATCTTTTTACATGATCTTCTTAGTGCCGTAATGCTATGGAATTGGTTGACGGACTAATGATGAGGAAATGATTTCATTATAGTCACTCAAAATTTCATGTGTAACCATGAAATTTTTGATATTTCAGGTTTATTCATAACATTTCTTTGTGACTAGATTTCATTTTATTTTTGTTTCATATAAAAGGAAAAAGAAAGCATTTCATGTGTGCACATATAACTCAAAAAAATAGAAAAATCCTACAACTAATTTCTTGTAACCGCAAACAATGTTTAGAAACATCTCTTCTCGTAAATATATAAATGTGATTAAGTAAAGAAACTTACATTTAGTTTATCTAATTTGGTATTTGTTATATTTTTTTTAAAACCTGTTTTGGATTTATTTTTTTAATTCACAACATCTACATCTACAAGTGTAAACGAAGGAATTAAGTAAAACAGATTTCTCACACACTATATAAGTTTTAGTACCTACAAGATTAGATTAGCCCAAAAAATTACTACTTTTTTTTTTTATAGAATTCTAATATGTAAGATCTATGATTCATCATAAAAGGTAGTGTAATAAAGCATTAATATTGATCCTTTCACAATTAAATTAATTTTCAAAAAAAATACAAGAGCTTTAAGGAAGTAAAGTCTAAGAAAATCGACTCAAGAACAAATTTCATTACAAAGCTCCATTGTCAAATACAGATCTAACCATCTTTAAGGTGGAGAAATGAACCAAGAATTTTCTTTCTTAATGATCACTCGATTTATTGTTCACACCCCATGATTCTATTTTATCATCAATCCAATCCTTGTTTACATTTTTTTTTCTTATCAATTGGTATGTCTTGGATATTCAATACTAAAATAAAAATATACTATTAAAATTTACTATCCACAATATAAGAAAAACCCGAAAAATGAAGATTACATAAATTTGAAAAATAGGACAAGAAATAATTTACGTGCAACGCACGTGGATATCAACTAATAGTTCAAAATACAGACAAATTTATAAGTGTTTTTGTTTTCAATGGGCAAATGCACTATCGGCCAGCCCATTGTGCCCTAAATTGGGTTAGCCCATGGGAAACCCAATCCTTTTAGTAAAGGCCCATGACCCCATGTTCTGGTCTAATTTACTACCTAGAGCCTTCTGCTTAGAGGGCCAGACTACCCATTAGCTTGTTGGGCTATCAGGCCGCCCATCGAGCCATAGGCCCACCCTTAGCGTTAACTGCGGGTCTCACCATGACGTTTTGTTTTAATTTTGTTTTTGTTGCCTTTCTTAGTTGTTGTGGCTGCAAATTAAAGAGTCTGGGGGCGATAGGAGAGAGGAGAGAGAAAACCACGGAGCAAGGTGTTGGTTGTTAATGGCAACCTTCGCCTTTGGCTTCTCGTGTTCTCCTCCTCTTTCTCTGCGCCTCTCACTCCGTCATCGTCTCTCACCTGCACCTCCTATCTTTCACCTTCGGTCCACCATCAGATTTACTAAATTACGAACCACAGAAGCCCTAGTTTTCGCTTCATTGTCGTCTTCTTTCGACGACTTCAGTACTAGCAATGGAAATTCACGCTCAAAGGTCAGTTTTAATGTTTAATTATTCACTTTTTCCATTTTATGTTTTGATTTTAAAATTTGATTGGGTCTTTTTTGTGTTTTAATATCTCGATTAGGTTTTCTTGCTATCGAATGTTGATTTTTTTTAATTTTGTGAACATAGGTACTGTTTAGTAGTGTTTTGAGACATTTGTCTTTCTTTAGCGCAAAACTTGATTCGTTTGAGCTTTTGGAAGCAAAGCTAATGCGCCAACCTAATAGTATCCTAAGTTTGTATCGTTCAATATTTTTCTTCTTTGTGCTTAGTTCGCTATCCAAGCGCGAGGACATGTATTTTATGAAAGTTAAAGGAATTTAGTAGTAGTATATTACTAGCACTACTAATTTACTTAGTTGAGGAGAGGTGAGGTGAGGAGATTGCTGAACAAAAGGGTGTGGAAAGCTAAAAGAGTAACATAGTGATAAAATTCAAAATTTATTGTAGTTCTTATTCAAGCGCAGTTCAAATAGTTTGAGTGTTGGTACTCAAAGAGGATCAAGTGAGTTGGCAATACATTCAAACTTAGAGGGCTGATTATTTTTAACTGCTCGTCTTGTACATCTTGGGCTATAAATATAATGTGATATTGGCTGCAATAAGTATGAATACGATGTTTGTTGCTTGTTTTTTCTTTTGTTGATTTGCAACTAGGGAAGCATATATTTTGAATATTAGAACTGATCAATCATTAAGTATCAAAAACAAACAACTGTTAGATTTGTGGCAACTACTGTCAATCCTAAAGGGGAGGCGATGATTCAAACCGTGGTTGAGAATTGGGACATAGGTGCTGATGTACTTCTCTCAGTAAGAAGGGAGAGAAAATAAAATAGTTACAAAAAAAGTTGTTAGAAACAAAAAATACCATTTTATATTTTTAAAAGGAGCGCATCTATTCTCAGTACCAAATTTCTTGCACCAAGCAGAATGACACTATCACAAGCATTGGATGTCTTGGGAGTCAGTGGGACCAAGTAGCCAACAAGCTACGTTGATTTGGTGCAAGAAAATTGGTAAAGACTTTGTCACTTTGGCAAGCTTAGTACTACTCAGTTACTTTTTTTATTTTTATTTTTAATTTTTTTTAAGGGGTGCAACACGATAATACTACTCAGTTACAAGTGAAAGAAATTCCACTAAAAGCTATTTCAAAATTTTACTGTTCCTAGTTGTGGTCAAATTTGGGTTATCTTTTTCCCATGATCATTTGACATCAAAGTTCATATTCTTGCAAACTGCATCTTTGTTCACCAGTTCTAGCCATTTCAATATAGGCCTTCCTATTGCCCTTCCAGTTCTTTCAACGTCATTTATACTAGTCTTCCTTGTGGTTGTAGTTAGTTGTTTGCTGCACATTGGCCAGCCATCTAAGATGACTTCGCTTTGTATCTTTTCATCTAGTCATGGCACATTTAGTTCATTAACGATGAATTCATTTCCCATTCTCTTTTCAGCCATTTCCATCCATTTGTTTGGATTTCCCTATTTGGGCTACAGTAATTTATGTCCATATTATTTATTCACTCCCGCATTCTATAGGACAAAGCATACTTGGATTTTTTGCTGTCGGACATTTTTTCCAGTTAACTTGATTGGGGTGATATGATCAAAGAAGACTATAGAGACACTTTTCTGTTTAATTCATCCCATTTTTCTTGTAGCAGCTTCTTTGCAAACCTTCCATTCTTTCCATGATAGGAAAGTGATCTGGGATTGATTTGTTCAAAAGTTGGATTGATTTTGTGCAAGTGATGGAATTATTTCTTGTGGGCAATTTTTTCAACTTTACTCCTTAGTTTTCCTATCTGCTGGTATGTGGAATGAAATGCCATTGTGATGTCATTGGGAATTTGAGGTATCATGCACAGTTTCTATTATTGTGTATGATAGCCCTGTGGCACATGCTTGACGTCGATGTCCTTGCTAAATATGAACCCACCTTGAGATCAAAATTCTATGAAATTACTCGGTTTACTCCAAAGTCATGTGGCATTTTCCACGATATCAAATGCATAAGATTAAAGAGAAGCCTAATTTTGTTTACCCAGTTGGGGGTTCCTCTGCCTAAAGGACATATTTCCATCTACTTTTTTAGTGTTTCTTCTCTCCTCGTATGCAGTAGAAACACTTTGCCAAACATGGTTAGTTATCATCGTTCCTCATTGTGAATAAAAGCTGCTTTTTCATGGGAATAATAGTTGCTCTTGTATGGGCGTCAAGGGTTTGAGTCGTAGAATAACCTCTCCTAAAATTATGTGTATTTTATTTGCATAGCGAGAGCCTTGTGAATTGAGTTGGTTTTTTAGCTTATATTTTTTTTTTATTTATGGATAAAAGAAAAATTTTAATATAGAAAGGAATAAAGAAACATAATACAATGTTGAGGACAAGAGACCCTCAGAAAATTAGTCAAGTAAAATAACATAGAGAAAAACGCCGACAAAAAAGAGAAAATAAAACTAAAGTAAAGCCACTATCCAATTCCTTTTAAGATCCAAAAAAGACATCCTTCTAAAATTTCTTGTGTCTTTGGTCTAATGTAAAGCCACAGAAATCAATCGTTTCCATGTAAGAAACATGACACGGGACACTAATACGACATGAACATGAATACGACAAGAACATGTAGACACTACATTTCAAAAAAACGTAGGACATGGATGCGTTGGGGATACACTATAAAAATTATATTTTATATATAATATTATATAATTTATCGTAAGTATAGTGATAATGATATGCAATTCATATTTTATGATAAGTAAATTTTTTGTACAGTTATCTGTATGAATTTTTAGACTAGATCATCATCATAGTAGTCAATAATCATTAATTTTTAATATATAATTTAAATAATTGCCCTCATTTTCTCAATTCCTCTTTTTTAAAGCTTTTATGCATATTTTATTTTTATTATTATATTTGGAGTACAATTTTAATATGTCTAGTGTTGGTAATTATATGTTCTTAAAATTGTAAACTTTGTTAATTACATTTCAACACATGTTTATTATTTAGTAATAGACACTTTCTAAAGAAATGTCGGATACGTTACTAAAGAAGTGTCGGACACGTGTTCGAAATTAAAATTTTATCATTTAATTATGAACATGGATGAAAGAGTATCAGACACATGTCTGATAGTGTTCGAAGATTGTCGGTGTCCGACACGGATACATCACCTTCTTGAGAGGGTCTGTGCTTCGTAGGTTTTCATATTAAATAAGAAGGAAGAAAACTATTATTGAAAATTCTAGCATTTCTCTCAATTCACATACACCAAAAAATTGCTATGGACCAACAATGCCATGGTATTTTTGCTTTCTTTTTCTTTCCAAAACTCCAATACTTAATTTACTACCCCAATACTTAATTTACTACATCTGCTTCCTTATAGGAGGGTCTCATCAATCAAACTTAAGAATGTGTTATATAAGCTTCATGCAAAACTACAGTGAATAAATAATGAACATTCGATTTTTTACTGCTCAAACAAGTCAAATATCAAGGCTCTAAACAAATATCAAGGCCTTAATTTTTGAGGGAACATTGACTTTCCAAATAATTTTGGCCAAAGTGAAAAAATCATTGTTTCTGAAGCTAACCAGAAGTGAATTGAAGGATTTTTTTGATATGATCATAGATTTATCCACTATCTAGATTCTACTGCCATGAGAAGAACAAGGTAGGAAGCCACTGAGAATGTGAAGCAAAGAAGTCAAATCAATTGTTTCCTATCATTAAGATGCCTCAAGAAATGAAAATCCCAAGAACATAAACATGTCCCCATGACTGGAAAAAGAGGAAATATGAACCTCATAGAGTGAGGATAAATGATAAAGACTGGGAAAGATATTATGAAAAAATGAATTCCCACTTCGTGTATCCTCCCAAAATTGAACTTCTGATCCATTTCCAACTTTATATCAGGTCAAAGGAAGAAAAGAAGGGTAAATCTGTGAAAGAACTTCCTGAGACTCATATGGGTTATGTTATGCCCTGACTTAATACTCCACCCATTCCTCTGAAGATCTGACTTACTCATAATTATCTTATGCCATAGGGAGTTAGGTTCTAACGGGAATCTCCATAATCATATTCCTACAAGGACAATGTTTCTAGACACTAAATTACCAAATCTTAGGCCCCCAAAATCTACAGGCTTAAAAATTGTCTCCTAACTTACTAAATGTTCCCTATTATCATCTCCCATCTCAGACCCAAAAAAATCCCTCTTCATCTTCTCTAAATTCCTAGGTACTGCTACAAGGATTCTAAAGAGTGACAAATAGTACAAATTGATGCCATACAAACATGCTTTTATCAATGTGATCATCCCTCCAAGAGAAAAATATGCTCTTTTTCCGCCATCCAATCTTTTACTCGTCCTTTTAACAATTGGATTCCAAAAAGACAATGATCTCAAATTTTCCTGAACAGTAACTCTAGGTATACAATACGCCACTCATTAACTGAACAACCCACCTTTAATGCCAAATTTCTAATCACCTCTTCCTCTAAGTTGATGTCTATAATGCCACTCTTGGACATATCATTTTTCAAACCTGAGACTTGTTCAAAAATCCTAATCAGTGAAAACATGTTCTGAAGGCACTCTTCTATAAGGAAACAAATAGTGTCATTAGTAAATTGCAAATGTGACACAGGTACATGTTCACCACCCACTCTCAATCCCTCTATCAATCTTATATCTTTTGCTTGAATAATCATCTTGCTCAAGAGATCATCCAGTGACGTAAATATAAAAGGAGATAAAAGATCTCATTGCCTTTAACCCCTAGATACATCGAACCACTCTGTAGACTCGACATTCACCAACATTGAAAAAGTCCTCGGTATTTGTTCTGACTTCCGCTCGTCAAGGAACGAGATTTGGATTTGACTAGGGTGAGCATTGTTTACTATGCGAGTGGAGAGATTTAAGGGACCTAATAGTGAGTGGACTTTGCCCCTCCCAAGAAAACAACCCCTTCTCCACCTCTCCCCAAAACCTTTGTTTTTTAACACTATCCACAAAATTCCAATTTATCCGATCATATGCCTTTTCAAACTCCAACTCCAACTTAATTCCTTCTCTTTTCGCATAACATCCTCCAACTTAAACACAACTTTATATGCATCTTGTTTTTTCACTCAACTCGGAAAATAATCAGTTGCTCACTAAAAGGGAAAAGTGAAAAAGTAAGAAGAAGAAGTGACATAGCTATTTCAATTCAGGGAACAAATTTTCAGGAAAGTAATAACAATTTATATTGAATTTGACATTAGATTGTTCGGTTTTTGTTTTATCCCAGAAATCGTTCATTACAAAGTTGATACAAGAGATAGAGCCTTTGGATGTGAGCCTTATTCAGAAAGATGTGCCTTCAACTACTGTGGATGCCATGAAGAGGACTATATCAGGCATGTTGGGTTTACTTCCATCCAACCAGTTTCAAGTTTTAATTGAAGCTTTATGGGAACCTCTTTCCAAGCTATTGGTTTCTTCGATGATGACTGGGTATGTTCATATGCATGGCTATTAATTAGAACTTTTATAAGTTTGTTGCCAAAAGGAAGGAGGATTTTATTTATTTATTTGTGGGTTTTTTTTTTTTTTTTGGGGGGGGGGGGGGGCAGAATAAAGAAAAGAGAACTGTAGAGCATTCAAAATATCTAAGTTTGGACCACGGTTGTTGTGATTTTATTTTGTGTGGTTCTTAAAAAATCATATGAAGCCTGTATTCTATTTCTTCTTCTGTTTTTTAAAGACAATATTACAGTACATTGGCCCTATGAATTAGAGGCAGATCTCAAATTGTAACAAAGGGTTGATATGGTATTGAATCATCGTTGGTACTTATTCTTCTCTTATTCCCTAATGCTCCGCTTGGTAGGAAGGATGAAAAATAGGAAAGATGGAAAGTAAGAGGGATACACTTTCTATCCTTCAAGGATGAAAAGTAGGAATTATACACTTTCCTTCCTTTGTGTGTTTGGTTGGATGGATGGAAAATAAAAATGACTTTTTTTTTTGGGTTGGCTAAAATTAGGGGTGACAATCGACTCGTGTCATGTAAGATTTGTGTTGAGTCATAAAATTATGAGCCTTTTATATTTTTTGTTTGTGTGTCAGGTCATTTTTAAGATCGTGTAGAGTTATAATCAAGTTTGTGTCATAAAATTTGTATCGAGATCGATTCGTGTCATTGTGTTGAGTCGAAAATTTTCATCCCTAGTTAAGATGAATTTTTTTTTAATTTAAAATTTTTTTTAATTTTATATATATATATATATTTTATCATTGTATTTTATATGAAATTAATGTATACATAATATATAGACAAATAAGATACATCTCAACATAAATAATTAACTTTTCATTCACTTTCCTTCTGATTTTAGAGGGATTGATTTTTTAATGAGTTGGAAGGAAAGTTAATTCATTCACTTTTCCATCCTTCCTATTTTTTTTTTCTTACCAAACATGATGTTTTATTTATCCTTCCAACTTTCCATCCTTCCAACTTTCCATCATTCCAATTTTTCATCATATCAAACAGAGTATAAAAGTTGATGTTTCATAAAATTAATGGATTTTTGTTTGTAAATCTTCTTGTAACTGTAGGTATACACTACGGAATGCTGAATATAAACTCTGTCTGGAAAGGAACCTTGATATATATGAAGGAAATATTGAGAAACAAGCAGTTGAAGCACCAAGGACGTGTGCTGATGATAAAATGATCAACAGTTCCAGGAAAGAAGAGTTTCCCAAATCTGAAAAAAATAGTGAAAAAACAATTGATCTTCCAGGCCTTGAAGAAATGACCCCCGAAGCTCAACAATATATATTTAAGTTGCAGTCACAGTTGGCATCTTTCAAGAAGGTAAACAATAGCACTTCAAATAGTTTACTTTTGAAAGTGGATGACTTGGTTTTCTTATCGATCATTGTGTTGTTTTGTAAAAATATTACTCCGATGAATTGTGCTAATCTACACAAATAAGATGTGAAAATTGCAATGGGCCTTATTGACATTCTAGTCAGTTTGGGACTTTGGAAGATATGCTTTCCTCTAGGGACGCAGCCAGAAAATTCTTTTAGGGTGGGCACTTAATAAGCTTTAATTTTTTCTAATAGAAGTTATATGATACATTTATATTTTATTATATTATTGGTAAATTTCAACAAATAATAACTAAAATGAGTCCACTAATATTTTTAAATTTTTTGACAAAATCTCTTCTAAAAATATGATATTTGAATGACATCAACTTGTATGCATAACATATATAATTAAATTTTATGTAATGAAAGTCATGCTACAATTATTGGAACATAATAATTCAAATGTCTTAGAAAATATGTCACTTGAATGTACTTTTTGTTGATTCAACATCAACGATTTCAACATTCATAATCAACTTTATCTCAAATTCTAAAAAAATGTTTACCAATACTATTACTAATAAATAAAATTCATCACTAATGAAATGAAAATTGCAATCATACTTCTGTAGACAAAGTAAGTATACACATGCTGCCAGAAAACCAAATTTTACTATCAGAAATTGCACCGACTTCCAAAAGAATGTCTATAGCATGGAAAAAAAATTATATTTAGATTTTTTTTTATTCTGTCAAAACATACAAATATTTTTTTTTATTCATCTATATTCAAATAAAAAAAGATTGAGAAAACATTTTTACCTCAAAAAATATTACTTTGTATATTTGGATGTTAATTGTTTTTTAGTTGAGCCTTCATGTTTTATAATGCTCGTGAACATATTAAGTCATTTTTTATATTTGTTAACATCTCCTTTAATTTTATCATATCTATAAAGTCATTCTCGAACTTCGTATGAAAAATGTCAATCAGCCATGTAGTTGGAAGCGTGCTAACAATATCATACACTATTATTGGATTATTTAGACTACATTTTTTTTAAGGTTTGTCATATAATGTTTCTTTCTTTTGTTATATGGTTTTTGACATTTGATTATGGATTAGTTTTCTCCGTTTCAAACTGTATCCAAAATAGATGGATATTGCATTTTGTTTTCCCTAATAATTATATAAATCGTACTGCACAGGTTGGTTGGTTGTGATTAAATTTTTTTTCTTTGTAGTAGTGTTTCTGCTATTTTGTGCATAATATAATGTTCACTTATTTTTTTTTTCTGCCATCGACCTTTGAGGTTTCATCTTCAAAGGAATCATTTTCAAATTTATCTAGTATATCTGATATCGTTAAATGCGTATTACGACGTACATAAATAGAGGTCGTTCAATGTTATTTGTACATAATATAAAATTTGTAAATTAAATTTATAATAATAAGGTTAATAACGGATTAACAAATATTCCATCAAAATAATTTTATACTGCTTCATGTTCTTATATTGCAAGAATAAGAATAACAACACACCAACAAAAATAATAAAAAAAAAAATAATTACAATGTTCATTGTTATTATACATCGCTGCAACATTGTTTTTAACAATCATTTGAACGTTTAATTGTTGCATGTTTATGATTATTAAGACTTAATTTATATCCTAAGTAGACTAAATTTATATTATTTTTTGTTTACCTTCAATTAAATGTTCAAATGATTATTAAGAACAATGTTGCAGCGGCGTATAATAACAATGAACATTGTAATTATTCTTTTATGATTATTTTTGTTGCTGTGTTATTCTTAGAACACGTGCCAGTACAAAATTATTTTATTGTTGTAATATTGGTTCATCCGTTGGTAACCTTATTATTAAAAATTTAATTTGTAACTTTTATATTATGTAAAGATAATACGGAACAACCTCCTATCTATGTACTTTATAGTTTGATGCCGGTATCAAATATATTAGGTAAATTTGAAAATAATTCATTAGAAGATGGAACCCTAATCTCAGAGTTTGTTCTAAACAAAAATTAAATTAGGTTGTATGTTATATAGATGATAGGGAAAAAATTAAGTGAACCAACCTGTGCAGTATGATTTGTAGCGCGAAATTAATCCATTTTGGATATAGTTTGAGACAGAGAAAATGGATCCAGATTTAATGTTAGAGACCAAAGAAAAAAAACAGCATTATATGACGAATTGAAAAAAAAATGGTTTTAGTCCAAATAATTTAATAATGTTATATGTTATTGCTAGCACGTTTCAACCTACATGACTGATTGACGTTATTCATACGGAGTTCGAGAATGGTTTCATAGATATGATAAAATTGGAGATGTTAACAGATATCAATAATAACCTTATCTGTTCATGAGCATTAGAAGACGCGAAGACTCAACTGAAAAACAAAGAACATATGAAGCAATACATTTCAGCTTTATTATGTTTTCTTAGTCTTTTTATTATTTGAATGTGGATGAATAAAAAAAATATTTGTATGTTTTTAGAGAATGAGAAAATATCTGAATATAATTTTTTTTTCAGGCTATATTAGACATTTTTTTTGATGGAATTGTTGATGATAATTTTTTTTTTGTTGACAACGTGTGTACTTTTTATTAGTAGAAGAAGAAGTGTTATCAGAACCGGAACAGACCGGATTGGCCGGTTGGATTGCGAACTGGGCCCTCAGCTGGTCTGGTTCGTGAATTGAACCGCTTAAGTAGTTAAATCGGAATAAAGCCGTCAAATCGGTCGGTTTTTGGCAAAAACTGTGAACCGAACGGTTCTACTGAAAACCCCCGAAATCCCCAATTTTTCCCTAAATCCAGTCGATCTCCATCTTCTTCTCCACTTAGCACAACATCAGAGATTAAGATGAGACCAAATCGAACAGAGTTCAATGGGTTCTTCTTCTTTTTGTTCAATCAATTCTTCTCCACTCGCAGTGACGAACAAGCAGAGGGATCTGGTCTAATCAAGCAACTCCTTCTCTACTCGATCTTTCTTTGCTCAGGCTTCACAGGTCACAACTTCGGTCAGTCTTCTTCAGGCTTCATAACTTCGTTTTTTCAATCTTCTTTCGTTCTTTGCTCCTTTCTCCTTACAGCTTCAACTGAGTGGAGAAGACCAGATCTCTGCGAGTGGAGAAGACAAGGTCTCTCTCTCTCTCTCTCATGTATGATAATATGTTGTTAGTCAAAGCTGTTAACTACTATTAATTTAACTATTGTTAAGAAGTATTCTTTTAGTATTCTTGTCAACTAAAGTTAAAAACAAAATTTTCTTATGGTGTTTTTCATTTTTAACAAAGGTTTTTTTTATATTAACTTAATTAATTTATGGTAAATTATATGCATTAGGGACATATTTATATTTTTTTAGTTAAATTATTATATTTTATAATTTTTTTTATTTTTTTATTATTCAAATGGTCTGACCAATTGACCCAATGGTTAAACCATTAACCCGGTCACTCTACCAGTTCGATGTCCGGTCCGGTCTTGATAACATTGAGTAGAAGTGTTTTGAACATTTTTTTAGAATTGAAATATAGTTGAATATGAATGTTGAAATCGTAGACATTGGATCAACAAAAAAAACATTTAACAATGTCAAGGGACATATTTTCTCAGCTGTTTGAATTATTATGCTGTAGTAGTTGTAGTGTGAGTTTCGTTACATAAATGTTTAATTATATATGCTCTACATGCATGTTGATGTTATTCTAAATATCCTATTTTTAGAAAATATTTTGTTGAAAATTTTAAAATATTAGTGGGCTTATTTTGGTCATTGTATGTTGAAATTTACGAGTAACATAGTGTCTTCAAACACGGTTAATTACTAGTATTATATTATATTTGATACTTAAAAATTTAATAGACACAAATGGGCCAAAAATCAGAGTTACATTGTGTATACTAACCAAAAAGACTAATTATAACCTTTTATAAAAAATAAGTTTAATGTAACCATTTGAAATTGACATCCAGTTTGTTTTAGTATTTTAAAAGCATTGCATAAGAATTTCATTAATAATACTATCAACAAATGTCTTCCTCTACCAATCATCTCTTTACCTCCAATCCGGATACTCAATTGAATCTTCTCTTCTCTCTTAGGTGGTGGCTCGCTTTAGTCAAATTAGAATAATTTCATCAGATAAACAAATCTATATTTGAATTTTCTAACTCTAATTAATTTTGAAATTATAATTTGATCTTGATTTTGATGTACTTATAATAATGTTCATACAATAATAAACTAACTCCTTAATTTTTTGAAAAAATCACAAATTGACTCTTTAACTGTTCAAAACTTATCCAAAAAGGTCTATGCAATGTATCTTCTGAAGCGTGGCCAATAGTTATTAATCATTTGATTATGATTCTATTCTAATAGGTATTGTAAAAATAGTAGGCTGAGCATACTTAAATATACGCAATAAATATTTCAGATTTATATAGGTAATATTATTAAAAAAAAAATTAAGGGTGGGCGGCTCCAACCTTCTTCCTTCCCTTTCTGAAATACTTTGGAGAACCCTATTACAAAATGTCTCTTGCACTGTGCATTTGATGGAGACATAATGTTGATATTTGTGCAGTTGTTTGTTGTAGTGGCTTTGGAAAGCTTTTGAACTTGCATGAAGTTGATGTTATTGGGATTCTAATTGCCATTTATTTTGCACCCAATTTTTTTGTTTTTGTTTTGAGTTCATTTTTCCTCGTGGGTAGGCGTAGGTTAATCATTGTCCCCATCTACTCGTATTTTTATTTTAGAAAGGTGAAATGGGATTGATGTTGTCAATTTAAAATAGTTGCGAGAAAACTTTGTTGAGTTGAAATGAGACGTGTGCTGGCCACATTTCTTATGGCTGGTGGTACTGTGATAGCATAACTTGTATGGTTTTATATGCGATAGACGGTAAGTTCTCTGGATGGTTTTCTATATTGTTTACCTTATACTTCCCCACAAATGTGCACTGCTATCAGTTTCTTGGATTGGTGCCTGTCCTTTTGTTTGAGCCGTCAATTTCTATTTGTGCATTCAATATTTGAGTGGCCGAGCTGTTGACTCCTTGCAACGTTTCTTGCCCTTGAGACCACTTATCAATAACAGATCAAAGGACACTCAGTGTGTATGGTTTTATATGCCAAAGCTGCTGAACAGTTTGATAACACAGCATTTTGTGATTATTGTTGTTTATAAGTAACTCATTGTGAAAATGAAAAGGTGTCTATGGCAGTGGAGGACCTGCTTTTTCTTTAATTTTTCCTTGACCGGAGTAATTTGGTGTTCTTGAAAGGAGAGTGGAGGTATGAATTCAGAGGTTATAATCACTTTTTTTAGGTTTTATTCTTACATTTCCTCTTGGTTCTGCCTATTCAAGGAGCTTCACGAAGTTAAGAGGAAAAGTGCAGCTCTTCAGATGCAACAGTTTGTTGGGGAGGAAAAGAATGATTTGCTGGATTACTTGAGATCACTGCAACCAGAAAAGGTTGGCCATTAAATATATTTACTGCATCAGAGCTATTTTTTTATCAACAAAGAATGCTTTACTATGACGAGTTTCTCTTATACTTTGTGATTGCTACTACTTTCATTGGTTGGCATATGCTAGCATGAAACTTGGAAGGTCTTCCCTCAGACTCAGTATATATGGGGATTGTGGTGCTATATTAGTATTAATCTGTTACAAGGAGTCCTTTCCAGGAGCGTGTTAAGGACTTAGTTTGTGATTGCCACAACCAATGATTCTAAGCTTGCCATATGTGCTGCTTTATTGGCCAGAAGTGAAAAGAAGAAGAAATGGAAATTTGGAGCAACTCTTCCACTCGAAATTATTAAGTTTCATCTTCTCTGTTTACTGTGGGCTCCTGGCTACATATGCAAAACTAAGCATTAGGCTGTTTTGTTTCTATGAGCACTTCTTCATGGAACTTTAGGCCGAAGAGTTTCACTTGCAACTGCAAATCTGATTGTCTGAACTCTGAAATATACATATAGTTTGCAAGTCTTCCAATATATTTACTGCAAAATATTCCTCTTAGGATTCGTGTCGAAGTGTTCCCAGTGGTCAGCATTTATAAACGCACACCATTTTTGTGCACAAAAGTCTGTTTATAATCTCAATTGCCAAGTCCTCGTCATGTATTTGCAGTCTATTGTAGAGGCGTGCATATACATTGAGCCTTAGAGTGCGTGGTAGATTTTTTCATTTCTCAATAGAAGTGCCAGTGTTCCACGTGCCTATTCTTCTTAGACCTAATTCTTGTGCACTTGTGCTTACATGTATTGGGATGCTGGTGTCTTATGGCTCAACCATTGAACTTGCATAATGCCATTTGTTTTCATAACAACTTGTTCTCATTATATTGTGGCAAATTTGATGATGTGTGATTTCTATTTAATCATAGTTATTAGAATCCTGAGCTGGATCCTAGGATCTTACGATCCTATGATCCAATATAAGCAAATATCCGAGTCTATTATAGAATCTTAAATCCGTAGGATCTTAATGGATCGTGATTCGGATTATTGGATCTTAGAATCTCGATCCGAACTACAATTTTACTGATTCAAGTTATTCAGTACGTTTGTTAGGCGCATTTAATTATCGAGCAATACAATCCATATTTTTCGTTTTCATAGTTAAGGACTCAATCCAAATGTGAATGTGTTATATAATTGTGAGTTTATTGGAGAGTTTCAATCTATACTACTCCTAAATGTCAACAAGTTGAAAAAACTTTTGAATACCTTTGTTGTCCTTAACAAATCATACATATACAATACTATCCACCACAAAATCAACATTGTAACCCAAAAGTCAAGTACTTAAGAACCACCATAAAATCATTTAATTCTGAATATTGATTTCTCTTTAGTTTGCTAACCTTTTGTTTTCCCTCATAATTAACTTTGGTACACATTTATCCCAGAAACCTTCGGTTAGTTTATACCAATTTTTTTTAAGTTTCTTATAATATCTTACAAAAAAAATAATTAATGACGACAATTGTGTATATAAATGCGGGGAACAAGTGTATAGATTGGGTTTGAGGTGTAGGTTCAAAGAATGTCAATTTCAAGCTAAAACTTGGTGCACTTGCTTGGTAAATTAAATCTATTTTATGGTTGGTATTTGATGATGAATCACGCCATCATATTGATTTGCGAATTATGATGGGTAGTAATTTTATTTGTGACCCAATAGAATAACGCAGTGGAGAACATTTATGCAACCAAAACGAACAGAAAATATCTCACTTGCTAATGGTCTAACTGCCTCAGAGATAGTCTAGCTCATTTTTCATGTTTCAAATGTAGGACATGTTTAGTGTTTGATGCCTATTTTACTAGATAATAAATCGAAGCCTGTTAGTACCACAATCAAAAAGAAAAGAAGAATAAAATAAAAGAAAAGATACACTTAATTAATTAATAATGAACTTGTATTCTCAACAATACATTGAAGTTGGTATCAATTTTGGCTCCAAAAAAAAAAAAAAGATGAGAATTTCACAATTCTCTATAAAATTATTTTACCATTATGCAGATTCATTTGAATTTGGTAGTTCTTGTGCTTCAACATGGAACTGTGCAAAAACTTTTTTCTTTTATTTTACTTTCATTTTCATTCTTGTTTTCATTCATTCTATTTGTATTTTTGTTGTTGTTTAGTTATTATCCACGTTGCAAGCAAAATCTTATTAACTTAAATATAGATAAGAAAATCTCCAAAAAGTCAATTTCATTCACAAATAGATCTCTTTACTTGTTCGTTATAGCCAGATAGTCTTCCATCTTTATTGTTTTCTAATTTTTTTTGTTTGGATGTCAAATAGTTAATGTTATTATCCAACAGTCTTTCAACATTTTGGTCTCTACCCCGTATCTCTTTCTCTGAAAGTTAAAATAAAAATACTTCAATTTTTCTTTTTCTTTTTGCAAAATCCCACAATATTAGCAATTTTTTTTTAAAACAATTTTCAATGCTTAAATTGTAGTTTATCAAATTTCAATCATTATCCTAAGTTCTACGTTTGTTATAATATTTCTATTTGTGTAGATACTAGGCTTGTTTAATTCTTATTTTTCAGAATTTATGTGTTTCGTCTCATTTTCTCAGTTGATAGGATCTTTCGATTCTTGATCCGGCTTTGCAATGTAACCTCCCCTATCGATCCAAGATAGGATCCTGGTTTTAAAAACCTTGTATTTAATTGTATATTGGTATTTGGGATGTGGATGTGCTTTTTTTGGCAGAGATTTTATCGAACCCTTTCTTTAGGGCAGATGAAATTCAGTTATTTGTTGCATTCATGCAATTATGCTATACTCTTGGCTGTATTTACAATTCTCTTACATATCCTCCTTTGATTGATGAAATTATGTCATGGACAGGTGGCCGAGCTGTCAGAACCAACATCCCCTGAATTGAAAGAAACAATCTACTCTGTAGTCCATGGTCTCCTGGCTACCCTTTCTCCTAAGATGAAGGCTCCTCATTTGTCCGAGAACCCTGCTAAAGGAGCTGTAAATGTTGGAATTGAAGAAGATTGTGTCGATCTTATTGAGAACACGTCGCTTCAATTTCAGCCTCTCATTTCGTTGACTCGGAATTATCTTGCTCGTCTGCTGTTCTGGTTAGACTAGTCCTGTTCTCTTGTTTCTTTTCTAGATAGCTTTATGAAATGCATTTCAGTCAGAAAATTCAATTGTTAAAAATTTTAAGTTTAAATTTGCAACTTTTTTGTTTTGTTTTAGTGTTGATGCTGTTACTATAGCTATATTATTAATTACATTTTTCTAAGTTTCAGCTGAACCAAAGTTACTGAAAGGCTTCCTTCCGGAAAAAAAAAGTTAGTGGAAGGCCGACTGCCGATCTTTTAACTCATATTTTTTGGCAAGCTAACTTTGTTCAGATGTTTTTCTTCTTTTTGACTTCCCCTTGACCATTTAGTCTGTCCATATCTCATACCAGATTAGACCACCATAACCCACTTGACCATTAATTTGTACATTTCTTGGCGAAATGTGGAAAATATTTTTCTCCTTACATGTATTTCCTTTCAATCTAGCTTGAGCTGAATTTTAATTTGGCAGCCCTCATGGTAGGTCGAGCTTGTACCATTTTGTCCCTTTGTTAAAAGGGTAGCAATTCTTTGTTTGAGCTGAGAGAACCCTCATTTGCACATCATGCTTGTTATAACAATTGTTTGAACTTCGATGTCTGCGTAATAAGGTGGGGTTTTATAGGCATAGAGAGGAGGAAGAGAATTGAAAACCCTAGACCCATTTTGTGAAAAGCGTCTCAGGCTCTTGGCCCATTTTTTGGAACTCCCTCTTCCAGGTTACCCTTGAGAACTGGGCAAAATCAGACATTTATACTGTCTTCACTGCTGACTGTAAATACTGTTAATTTTTGGTGTCTGATGTTCGTCTATTGTCTTTTTCAAAGGTGCATGCTGTTGGGGCACTACCTCAGAGGCCTTGAATATCGTTTGGAACTTACAGAACTTTTGTCGTTGCCAAGTGATGCAGAGAATGATGTTGCTAGTGGTGAACAAGTTACTTGAGAGATGTTTTGGTTTCACACTTATTTCCATATGTATATAGACATATCTTAATGTTTTGGTTTTGTTAGTTTGCCTCTGCGTATAGACATGTTGGTTGCTAATTGCTATACAAATATGTTGTACATCAGAACTATCCTCTAATTGCCAAAGGTTGCGTCCACATTATCATTGGCATACAATTTTCTTATGTTTTCCGACAGTTTTTATGTAGGAAATGACATTCTTTCATTAGTTTTGTAATGCTTTTTAATTTTGGATTCCGATTATTGAACTACCAGTGAAAATTTACACTTTTCTTGCGAATGTGATAATACTTGTTTTTGACTTCAGCAGGTAATCAAATAAAAGCTTCAATTGCCAATTGCATGCAGCTCCAGACGCCCCATTCTCCGCGCGACGATCTCTCTTGGGTGTGCATGTTAATCTTGGGTTGTTGGACAGTTTAAATAGATGCAAGAGCAGTGCATGCAAACAAAAAAAGGCACTTTTTCAACTGTTGGAAATTAGACAGGATGTGATTGAAAGGAAAATTTGTGTTTGAGATACTAGGGAAATTGGAATTTCTTGACAACAAAAACGCTGCACTTTGAAGAAATTTGAGGACTATCCCATTAAGAGGGGGATGTTGGTATGTTATGGTAGACGATTCGTTAGGTAACAAACATGAAATGTAAATTCAGACGTTCTGAATTTGAATCTTAATAATTTCTTTGGGTTAGAGTAGGAGAGATTAATTCTTCATCTTGGTAACAAAGATGATTTGTCTTTGATCAGATCAGAAAGAGGATTAGTTGAGATGTACGTATGTTAACTCAGTCAAGGACACTTCAAATATCTTTGATCGTTGAACAAAAAAAAAACTTCCTAGCCAATATTGATGGGAGACATTATAAACTACATCCATGCTAAGGAAAGGAGCATATTGTTGAAGATTTCTTTGGGGTTGGGTGGTGCTTAGCAGGCTGTCGGGCCAATCCGATGGACCATCTTTGTGAGCCTTAATCACGTCACACCATCGGCCTTAGCGGATCAAAAATACTAACTGAGACACTCTCCGGTATGTTGTTGGGCCACATATGGACTGGTATGTTTATTCGAAATCGACACCGAATTAACAGGGATTGAGTTGAATTCAGGAAGTTCGGGTGGTGGTAAACGGGTGTATCGATGACATGAAATATATCCCACGAATTTGAAACCAACAATGCTACATTTCTTCCACCATTCACAGCCTCACCTGAAGTTCAGAACTCACTTTCCTCCCCTTGCTTTTCTCCATCTCATACATTTTCATTCTCTCTCTCCAAATTCAACCTCTAGCAACTTCTCCAACCTCTCCAGCCTGTTACAAGGCCATCTTCCACACTCTCACATACTCCAAATCCATGCTCATATCTTCAGAGTTGGCGCACACCAAGATAATCTGATAGCCACTCGTCTCATTGGCCACTACCCATCTCAGCTAGCTCTTCGCGTCTTTCACCTACTACAATCTCCCAATACATTTCCTTTCAATGCCATTATTCGAGCATTAGCTGAAGAAGGCCTTTACTCTCCTGCCATACTTATATTCAAAAGATTGAAGTTGCAATCCCTTTCACCCAGTGACTTGACCTTTTCTTTCCTTCTTAAGGTCTGTTTTCGGTCCAAGGAAGCATATTATGTCAAACAATTTCACCCTCACATTGTAAAACTGGGTTTTGTTGATAATTCTTATGTGTGTAATGGTTTACTCGCTGTCTATGCTAAGGGGCAGAAAGATATGGTGTCGGCACGCAAAGTGTTTGATCAAATGCCTGACAGAAGTGTGGTTTGTTCTTGGACTTCTTTGATTTCTGGGTATGCCCAGTCGGGTCAGGTGGAGGAAGTTCTGAGTCTTTTTCTATTAATGATAAAAGAGAATTTGAGGCCAGAAAACGACACTATGGTTAGTGTTTTATCTGCATGTTCTAAGCTTGAGATTTTACAAATTGAGAAATGGTTGAGAATAATATTAGAATTTAGAAATAATTTTGTTTCCAAGAATTTGGGTCATGGTTCAGTCAATACTGTTCTTGTTTATTTATATGGGAAAGGGGGAAAGGTTGACAAGAGTAGGGAAATATTTAATGAAATGCCTGACAATGGAAAGAGAACTGTGCTTCCTTGGAATGCCATGATAGGTGCTTACGTTCAAAATGGTTGTGCTGTTGAGGCTTTAAGTCTTTTCCACCAGATGCTGGAGAAATATAATTGTAGACCCAACCATGTCACGGTGGTTTCTGTGCTCTCAGCCTGTGCTCAAATTGGTGATTTGGACCTAGGAACATGGGTTCACGAATATATGAAGTCTGAAGGGCGCAAATGCATTATAACCCTAAACACAAATCTGGCAACTGCATTGATAGATATGTATTTTAAATGTGGGAGTTTGGAGAGGGCAAGAGGGGTTTTTAATCAGGTGGTCACCAAAGATGTTGTTTCATTTAATGCTATGATCATGGGCCTGGCAATAAACGGTCAAGGAGAAGAGGCATTGAGACTTTTCTCCAAAATGCAAGAGAGTGGTTTGCGTGCCAATGGTGGAACATGGCTTGGTGTTCTTTGTGCGTGTAGTCACTCGGGACTGTTAGAGAAAGGGCGTCTAATATTTAAGGACATGAGACGACTTTCAATCACCCCTAAATTGGAACATTATGCTTGCTATATAGATCTCCTTGCACGAGTGGGCTGTGTTGAAGAAGCACTTGAAGTTGTTATCTCCATGCCTTTTGAGCCCAATGATTTTGTGTGGGGAGCTTTGCTGGGCGGTTGTGTGCTCCACAATAGATTAGAATTGGCCCAAGATATTTCCACCATGCTTGTTAAGGTGGACCCTGAAAATTCTGCAGGCTATGTGATGATGTCAAATGCATTTGCAGTTGATCACCGATGGAGTGATGTCTCAGGGCTGAGGAGGGCTATGAGGGAAAAGGGTGTAAGGAAGCAGCCCGGGTGTAGCTGGATTAGCATCAATGGAACTCTGTATGAGTTTCTAGCTGGGTCCCCCCTACATCTTCAAAATGATGGCATTTATCATGCACTGCATGGGTTGCTGAATGAAATGAAGTTAGAAAGTCCTTAATGAATTCGTAATCACTTTCAGGAGATGATTATTTTTTTGGGCATGTCATGTTAGAATTGGTTCAGGTTTCAACATCTTCCAGGCAGAATAGATTTTCCCTTTTCGAAAATTAGTTCTCTGTGGGAGCCACTGCTGGGTATGGCTCTTTGCTTTTAAGACTACTCCTTCACATATCCAGCATGCTTTTTTTCTCAATCGTCATGTTGTCAAACTAAAACAAAATATAACTATTTTTTGAAATATTTTTCCATGAAGAAAAATACTGTTTTATGCCATAGGGTTAAACCTGTTGTCTCGCATGTTCCATTAGCATAAATCTTGCAATCTGCATTTGGTCTTTAGTGCATCAAGGGAGAAATCCTAGATTCATAGTGTGCAGTGCTTTCTTTAAATGTTGTCATGCACCACCAGTACGGTCCATGCAATTCCATACATTTGTCATGTTATCTTTGGATTTAATTGTCTTCATGAGCCTTTGGCCTTGTAATTCACATACCTTCTCATCCATCTTCTTTGGTATGAAAAGTAGCATTAAATCATCTCTCTAACCTTTGGCACTGCTTTTCCCATTGCCTCATTGAGTTAATATGATATTCCACGTCAGAATGTAGTTGAGCCAAGCTTATATTACTTTAACTATATTGTGACTGGCTCTTTACAAAGATTCTAATTCACAGTTACATAGTTGAAGTTATCAGTGTGTTAGGGGTAGAAATCGCGCGTTCGGATTTCATCCCTGAACACCAAGGATTCTGGCTGGCCTGCACCCTTTCCTAAGGCAATACAATAGCCTTTACCTCCATCCCACATCGGGTAGGAGTCGTCTCCCCTCCTGCCATACAAGTGAACACTTCCTAGGGACATCGGGTAGGAGTCGTCTCCCCTCCTGCCATATAAGTGAACACTTCTTATGGAGGAGGTACCCACTAGGGACAAGGATTCTGGCTGGCCTGCACCCTTTCCTAAGGCTACTGTATTGCCTTAGGAAAAGGTGCAGGCCAGCCAGAATCTTTGGTGTTCAGGGATGAAATCCGAACACGCGATTTCTACCCCTAACACAGTGCTAGAACTCTGATCCCGTTTTAGTAAAATAGTTTGTTTCCGTGTTTTATGATCTCCAAATTGTATGTTATATAAGCATATAGCTGCCAATGTTTGCGATTGATGTAGTGTATGGTAAGGCTTCGACCAAGGACAATCCCAAGGCTGTACACAGGAAGTGACTTGGCTATTATGCAGGCGTATTGTTCTGTTTTACTATCATTTTACTTGGTGATTAACTACCTTTTTGGTATTATGTTTCTTTTTAGTCCTCTTCTTTCTAATATCAAAACAAGTGTACCTTCTCTTCAATAGTAATATGTAAAGAAATTTTGCAGTTCTAGTCTTTGCTTACTGTTAGAACAAACTCCTTTGGATAAAGCTGAGGACCATTCAAGGTCGAGTTGTTGCTGCTAAGGCAGAAGCTGCTTGGAAGACTCTCTCTTAGCCTTTTGATGTTAGGGCGGCTGAGAAAGTGAGGTCAGTGGCTTTGCCTTAAATGATTTTATCGAAGCATGGCTTGTCCTGCTCCTTCATCAATTAGATGAGACCTGCCTCAGCATTGTATCTGAGCTTAAATCAACCAAGCTTGACACCGCTGACCTCAGTTTACTTAGTTTGACTTTGATTTCATGCGATTTGATTCTCATGGGTTCAATAAAGCTCTCTTAGTAAAAAGGCAGAAAAGAAGTAAAGGGGGGATGGTGGTGTAGGAGTTGTCACTTAATATTTTAACTTAGATTATTCTTGGCTATCTCAATTTACAATTTTTGGGACTCTAGGTCCATTGGGTAGTGGGGATGCACCCCCAGTATAAAACACACATTACAGCACCGTTACCCTAAGGAAATCAAGGTTTGGAACCCCTTTTCTATTTGGGTGAGAAAATCGGAACATCCGCTGAATTGGTAAGCTAGACTAGTCATATCTTGTTATTAGTGGAAGTTATGCGGTTGGAACTAAATTCCTGTAGAGCTGATCCAAGCCAAATCATGCCAAAATTTGATAGCTTTTACGAACTTTTGGTAGAGTTGAAATGGATGAGTTTTGGTTGAATTTGGCTGAGTTGGTGCCTTCCCTGAAGTTAAGTGGGCAAAGCTTCAACAGCCTACTAGGCAAACATTCAAGCATTATGGCTAGAGGCTGCAGTCAATATGATGAATGCTTACCGACTTCAAACTAGGCTTACTGTGGAGGGTAGACGGTAATATACTGCTCTTCTTGCATGCAAACTGTGGGTGATTTTTCCACCTTTGATATTGTCTGTAACTTCTCTTTTTGTTTCGGTTATTATTATTTTTTTGATCAAGAAAAGCTATAATTTTATTTAAGAAGGGAAATGTTGATTACAGTCAAATAATAAAAAAGCCACCAACTCTGTAGGTGGACAGCTGACCCAACTCAAGGCTAGAGAGCTGGATAAAGCTGATGCTGCTACCCAATGAGCTGAGCTGCCTTGTTAAAGGCTCTTGGCTTGTGTAGAAACTTAAGGTTAAGGGAATTAGCAACTTGTTTAATATCTTCAATAAATAACTTCCAAATTATCGCTCTCGATAGTAGCATGCTGTAACTGCTGGGTGTGTGCAAGTAAGCAAGCTTGCCTGATTGCCGCTGCTGCACAGCTTCAGTCCTTGATTGAGTTGCGAGCCATGTTCTGTTTGGCTTGGGATGTTTAAGACTTTATCTTTTGCTCTTTTCCAAACTGTAACTGAGTCATGTTGTTCTGTTTCGGTTATTAATAAAGTCTACTGTTTCTTATCGAAAAAAACACAATGGCCACTTGGATTGAGATGATTACAAGATGAAAATATGGAGATCCTTGGTCAATCTTACGATACTGATGCAGCAAACTTTGTCAAGAACATATGTTGCCACACTCATGCACATTCCAACCTTCGAAAGCATGCAATATCCCATCTACGCCACACAAAATTGAAACCCTTCAAAATCAATTAATTAAATATTTGCTTGCATAAATAATTGACCACTGCCGAAAAGAAGACCTCCTGTTGGTAGTAATCAGCGAAGAACAATGGGAGTGGGCAGAAACGTGCATATGACGAAGTGTATCTTACATCGATGACAACTTAATTTTATTAGTTTTTGGGTTATAATAGCAAATTTACATTTGATTTGGATTATAATGCAACATCTAATACATGTCATGTTTTTTAAAATTAATACATAATTAAATTTGACCAAACAAAGTATTTGATCCGATTAAATATATAATAGTACAATTTAATATTTAATCAACTCATAATATGTCAACCAAACTAAAAAAATATGTTATGATCTATTTACTAAAGTTTTAATTTTGGACTGAAGCAAGTAAATAGACCAAATCAAATGATAATATGTTTGCAATTTGATGAAATTCTTTAAATCCAATAGATTGGATCGAATAGGATTCAAAAAAATAATTGTCATAACAATAGGAACATAGTAACATTCAGTGCATAATTGGATCCGTTTATATTCCTAGGGATAAGTATTAAAGGTCCTTTGACATGACCTTTTTTTTTATCCAAAATTTAAATTTAGATAAAATTGGTCTAAAAATATTCTCCAATATTAAATCCATATTTATACCAAATGAAGAAAAACTCTTTTGTAAATCTAAATCAAAAAGATCCAAATACAATACTCAAATCTCAACTGTCAAATATCCTCATAAGATTCACACTCTTCTTCTGCTCATCATCTTTGAGTTCATAGATCATCATCATCTTCCAAAGTTAATAAGATTCACACTCTTCTTCTGCTCATCATCGTTGAGTTCATAGATCATCATCATCTTCCAAAGTTAGAGTGGGTGGCCTTTCGGTGTCGTCGTCTTCCCCTTCACTGGCTTTTTAGACTTCTATGGTGACAGGTGAAGTCGGCGGTGTGGTGGCTGCTTGCACATCTCATAAAAGAGAACAAGAAATGTAAAAGGTTTTTTCTCGATAAGTTGGAAATTTTTTTTGAAATATTTGAGTGTAAAAATAGGTTTATTGATTAGAGAGGTTAATATACAAAAGAAAAGAATTTTTTTTTTGGATAAGTTAGAAATTTTTTTGAAAAATTTGAGTATAAAAATATGTTTATTCATTTGAGAGATCTACATCAAATCAAAATTTTTAACCATTTTTTTTACTCAAAATTAGATAAGTATATGAGTCAAGAGATGGTCTTAGAGTTTCAATGATATTTGATTCAAATCGATATTTATGGACAAATCATGACTTGCCAATCTAAAAGTTTACAAAAATTTCTACACCAAAAATGTGTTAGAGTCATCTAGAAAGTTTGATAAACTTTTTGATAAGTGTAGATTAATATGGAAATAATGATGTATATACCAAAAAGTTCGCCGAATTTTCCAGAACATATATTATGGCATATTTGGTAAAGTTTTAGGTAAGTGTAGATTGTTACTATGGAAAGAGAAAAACGTTTCAAGGAAAGGAAAGGTATTTGTGTAGAGTAAAAAAGAATAAACAACCAAAAGAGAAAAAGATGAAATAAAAACTAATAATTTGTTCTTGCTTAAGCTCTAGTTCATTTCTGTGTTTTTTTATGTGAAATCCCATTTTTCTTTGCTAAAACATGATTAAAATCCTTAAATTTTTGTGTATACATAATCTATCATTTCACCTTCTAATTTTAATTTGTTTTGATGCTTGGAATCATGACACGGTTCATTAACACAAATAATAAATATGTCGAATTTTGGTTAAGACGAGAATAATATTTGACTCAAATTGTAAGAAGAATATAAACATTCTATTTTTATCAATTTCTTATCAAATACTTTATGAATTGTTTTGAAATTAAATTATTATATTAACTTGAATATTGTCACAAATTAAATTAACATGATCTAAATAGATGTGATTTGAAATGACACGAAACGAATATTATATAATACAACTCGCTGAGACCCTCTTATTCAACTCCAACATTTGTTTTACCTAAATCCAACAATCGCCTATTTTGTTGTGACGTAAAAGATCAAAAAATTTGGATCTCCATTACCCAATTTTTTTCGAAAAGTAAAAAAAGTTTTCATTTATTTGAAATATCTGTGATGTACATCAAAACAAAAACCAATACAAGCAGTGAAGTGAGCAAAAGTATGGAGAATTCCCAAGAGGTACCAAGCTTTAGTTGAGTACCCCATGGGAATTAGCCCTAGTCCTATACAATTCAATGCAAAACAAACTGGGACATCATAGCATAGCAGGCATGAGCTAGGAAGCTGCCAGGTTAGAAGTAATCTTTCATTCCTTGGAGTGATCTTGAATTTAAGAGAAAGCATTTTGTCCATAATGGTTTGGACAATAGCTTGCAAGATGACTTTGGAGTTTCTGGATTGGTGGCTATGGAGCCTTGAATTCCTTTCTCTCCAAATGGAGTAAACAGCTACAGAGAGGCATAGCTTTTGAAGGGTTCTGAGCATGGATTTATCCTTCCATGTTTGAACTACTTGATCAAGCAGAAGTTGCCATGAAGTAGTTTCCCATTGTTCACCACATAAAAGCATCAGATAACACAAGATGAACCTTGAGTAAGGGCAAGCAATGAAGAGAGGATGGTGAGATTCTTGGGAATGATTGCATAGACTGCGTTCAATCCCAAGTTGGGCAGCATAGGCTAGGGTTTTATCTCTTGTGCTAAGCCTTTGTCTGATAGCCAGCCATAGAATAAAGTTCATTCTAGGGACGCCTTGAGAAAACCATACTAGAGGGTACCAAGGTACTCTAGGGTGTTGCTCCCTAATCTGTTTCCAAACAGATGATGAAGAGAAAAGGCTATTTGGGGCAAGTGTCCATTTCACAGTGTTTTTTCTTAGATGATTTGGGAGATAGGAAGGCATGTTTTGAACGATATCTATCAATTCAGAAGGAACAATTGTTGGCCAAGACCATTGATTGCCATTGACAATGAAGCTAACCTTTGAGTTTGTTGACAAGCTAGATTCATCCATGGTGGTGTTGTTGCAGAAAAGTGACAGAGGGCCATAGGGGTGCCAGGAGTCATGCCAAAGACTAGTGTCCACTACCCAATTTATTGATGAGAATCTTACTAATCATTAATCATTGATATTTAATAGGGATATATTAGTCCACTAATGACATATCTGACTTTCACTACTATCCAACTAATGGTCCATAAAATATTAACATGCACGAAAATATAATCAATAAAAGTGTCCCTGGTAGTAATAGATGTACAGAAAGGTACGTTGGACACGTCGGATTGGTTAAACCCTCCACAGGTTTTAGGGAGACTTCTTGCACTTCAACCTAGGTCAACAAGGTTATGTGTGTGCATATGACTCTTCAAATATTTTCTTTTTGTGGATTATGTAAGAAATTTTGTAATGAACATCATTTGTATTGCCAAGTTAAGCATGAATGATAAGTAGACGGGATTTTTGTTTTGGATTCGATTTAGTTGGATATAGTGACATAGATCCGTTTATTTCCTTCATTGACAAGGTTGGACTTTGGATATACAATGTTATTATTTTTTCATTCGCTACCATTAAAACTTTCAGAAAAAAATAGAGTACATAAAAAAAACATATTAGGATCTATTTACTATAAGTTTGGATTAGAACACATAAATAGATCAGATCAAATGACAATATGTTCCGAAGTGGATGAAATTATCCAAATCCCATGAATTGGATCAGATAGGATTCAAAAAAATAGTTGCAATAACAAATAAGAAAGTGACAACATTCAGTGCATAACCGGATCCGTTTATGTTCCTACTGATAAGTATTGAAGGTGCTCTATTCTTATATGCTCTTGCCCACTCCTCTAAAAATAATTTCTTACTTAGGGTCTGGCTTCTATCTGATTTCTTAATAAATTTGGAGGATCCAACCAATTCTTTTTGGAGAAGCTAACTCTTTAACCAATTCCCATCCGAAGAGAAAATTTTGAATGCATTTATAAACCATGTGACACTGCTACATAGTGTGCACACCCAATGAGAGACTGTTACAAAATCAGCTTGTTATGATAGCTATTGCACATTATCACCATTTGCTGGCATCACGAAATGAAGATTTCCGCGGCAAAATTTTCTGGGGTAAAAGTCATTTTTCTTGTAGTGAGAGTTTTGGCATAATTTTTTTTTTGTGATACCAAAAAAAAATTTAGATGTTTGATGCCCATTCCCCTAATTTATTGATGAGAAATTTCCTAATATATTTCCTTAATCACTGATATTTAATATGGTATTTATGTGTAATAATAACCAGTTTATTTGAACATGTCTTAAATATTGTTTCAGAAATTCAATCAATGAAATATGTTTAAATTAAGCAACTATCACCAACCTAGCTAAAAGTTTGGATTATTTATGATAACATGTCTAAGAGTTTAGACTACTTATGATAACACCCCTAAAAGAAATTGATAAAGACTAAAATGTGCACTAATATAATTTGTTCAACTTGGTCTCTTATTGGGCTGTGGATATACGCGCTCATGTGAAGATAGACAATGAACGCACACTCTCTCTCTTAGTAAAACCCTAATAGAAATTTCCGTAGGGTTCGTCGTCATCTTCCAAAGTTAAAGTGGGTGGACTTTTGGTGCCGCCGTCTTCCCCTTTCACTGGCTTTTAGACTTCTACGGTGACAAGTGAAGTTGGCGGTGTGGTGGTTGCTTGCAGATCTCATAAAAGAGATAAAGAAACGTAAAAGATTTTTTTTTGGATAAGTTGGAATTTTTTTTTGAAATATTTGAGTGTAAAAATAGGTTTATTGATCGGCGAGATTTACATAAAAAAGAATAGAATTTTTTTTTGGATAAGTTAGAAATTTTTTGAAAAATTTGAGTATAAAATATGTTTATTTATCGGAGAGATCTACATCAAATTAAAATTTTTAATCATTTTTTTTACTCAAATTTAGATAAGTATATGAGTCACCATTGAAGATGGTCTTAGAGTTTCAACGATATTTGATTCAAATCGATATTTATGGGCAAAATCATGACTTGTCAATCTAAAAGTTTACAAAAATTTCTACACCAAAAAATGTGTCAGAGTCATCTAGAAAGTTTGATAAACTTTTTGATAACTGTAGATTAATATGGAAATAATGACGTATATACCAAAAAGTTCGCCGAATTTTCTAGAACAATTAGTATGGCATATTTGGTAAAGTTTTAGGTAAGTGTAGATTGTTATTATGGAAAAAGAAAAACATTTCAAGGAAAGGAAAGGTTTTTGTGTAGAGTAAAAAAGAAAAAAACAACCAAAAGAGAAAAAGATGAAATAAAAACTAACAATTTGTTCTTGATTAACCTCTAGTTCATTTCTGTGTTTTTTTATTTGAAATCCTTTTTTTTTTTTTTGCTAAAGCATGCTTAAAATCCACAAAGTTTTATGTAATACATAATCTATCTTTTCACCTTCTAATTTTAATTTGTTTCGATTCTTGGAATCATGACACGGTTCATTAACACAAATAATAAATGTGTCGAATTTTGGTCAAGACGGGAATAATATTTGATTCAAATTGTGAGAAGTATATAAACATTCTATTTTTATCATTTTCTTATCAAATACTTTATGAATTGTTTTGAAATTAAATTATTATATTAACTCAAATATTGTCACAAATTAAAATAAAATGATCCAAATAGATATGACTTGAAATAACACGAAACAAATATTATACAATATAACTCGCAGAGACCTTGTTATTCAACTCCAACATTTGTTTTACCTAAATACAACTATCACCAGCTTTTGTTGTGATGACAAAGATCAAAAAATTTTGGATCTCCATTACCCAATTTATTGATGAGAAGCTTACTAATCATTAATCATTGATATTTAATAGGGATATATTAGTCCACTAATGACATATCTGACTTTCACTACTATCCAACTAATGGTCCATGAAATATTAACATGCACGAAAATATAAACGATAAAAATGTCCCTGGTAGTAATAGATGTGTAGAAAGGTACGTTGGACAGGTCGGGTTGGTTAAACCCTCCACAAGCTTTAGGTAAGAAATTTTGTAATGAACATCATTTGTATTGCCAAGTTAAGCATGAATGATAAGTAGACCGGATTTTTGTTTTGAATTCGATTTAGTTGGATACAGTGACATAGATCCGTTAATTTGAATCTGAGTGAGACCTGTTTATTATTTCCTTCATTGACTAGGTTGGACTTTAGATATACAATGTTATTATTTTTTCATCAGCTACCATTAAAACTTTCGGAAAAAAATAGAGTACATTAAAAAAACATGTTAGGATCTATTTACTATAATTTTGGATTGGAGCAGATAAATAGATCAGATCAAATGAGAATATATTCCGAAGTGGATGAAATTATCCAAATCCCATGAATTGGATCGGATAGGATTCAAAAAAATAGTTGCAATGTCAAATAAGAAAGTAACAACATTCGGTGCATAACCAGATCCATTTATGTTTCTATGGATAAGTATTGAAGATGCTCTATTCTTATATGCTACCTCCCACTCCTCTAAAAATAATTTCTAACCTAGGGTCTGGTGTGGCTTCTATCTGATTTCTTAATAAATTTGGAGGATACAACCAATTCTTTTTGGAGAAGCTAACCTTTTAACCAATTCCCATCCGAAGAGAAAATTTTGAATGCATTTAATAAACCATGTGACACTACTATGTAGTGTGCACACCCAATGAGAGACCGTTACAAAATTAGCTTGTTGGGATAGCTATTGCACATTATCACTATTTGCTGGCATCACGAAATCAAGATTTCGGCGGCAAAATTTTTTGGGGGTAAAAGTCATTTTTCTTGTAGCGGGAGTTTTGGCATAATTTTTTTTTTTTTTTTTGTGATACCAAAAAAAAATTCAGATGTTTGATGCCCATTCCCCTAATTTATTGATGAGAAATTTTCTAATATATTTCCTTAATCACTGATATTTAATATGGTATTTTTGTGTAATAATAACCATTTTATTTGAACATGTCTTAAATATTGTTTCAGAAATTCAATCAATGAAAAAAAAAAACCAACCTAGCTAAAAGTTTGGATTATTTATGATAACATCCCTAAGAGCTCGGACTATTAATGATAACAGCCCTAAAAGAAATTGATAAAGACTAAAATGTGCACTAATATAATTTGTTCAACTTGTTCTCCTATTGGGCTGTGGATATCATGTGAAGATAGACGATGAACACACCCACACTCTCTCTCTTAGTAAAACCCTAATAGAAATTTCCTTATTTCATGCGAACACACTCCGTCATTTTATTTGTTGATTCTTTCTCTCTCTATAATCTCTCAGTTGAGAGAGATAGAGATCGCAACTCCGATCTCTTCTATCCTTGGTTCCCGAAAGAGGAACCGACCAATCTCTCTCTAGTTACAGTTATATACGAAGTCTATCTCTTTAAAACCACTTTAAAACCCTAACCCTAACCCTAACCTCAAAGAGCATACCTATTTATTTATTCTCTTCAAGTTTCGGTTACAAACAATTCCATGGAAAAGAGAGAGGAGGATGAGCTTGGGTGGCTGATGGTGAATAACCCTACTGTGCCTACTTCACCATCAGGAAAACCTATCCAAACCCACCCTATGCCGGAAAATCACCATCACCCCATGCCGGAAAATTACCGTCATCCTATGCCGGAAAATCAGCGTCAGCGTAGTGATATTTCACCTGCCGCTATTGGTACTCCGGGAATCCTCTTTCCTAGACTCTCTCCGGCGTCCAGAAACCACCCTTTTCTGTTTCCTCAGACTGAAAGCAACTCGTATAACCCAAATCTTGATCACTATGATCAGAATATTGGGTTGCCAAATACTAGTGTCCATGTAAACCCTAGTTTTCCTGAAACCCTTTATGACCCAAGTCTTGAAACTGTCTTTAGTCATCTTAGCCTATCATCTCCTAATCATATATCTTCATTCTTGGAGCCTTCTATTTTTGGAAACAATTCTTTGGTTAATTCTTCAACAGGTATGAGGTTTCCTCCTATATCATATGCACAAACACAGTACTCTAATATGGATTTGCAGAGAATGAGAGTCCAGTCTGCAGTGAGTGGACAGACGGGCCTGTATCCATCACCCCAAGGTTTTCCAACTTTTGGTGATGACTATCAGAGTTTAGATGATTTGGTTATCCCCAGTTTGAATTCAAGTAATTTCAATGATTTTGATTTCGATATTATCTATAACGAAGGGCGAAGTTTGGCTGCAACCATGAATAATAGACTTCAAAGGTCTCGTCTGAATCGAAGCGGTTTTCTATCAACCAATGAATCTGGGTATGGGGTTCAAAATATGTCAAATGGTAATGGGTTAATATTACCGTATGAATCATCTGGAGATGGGTTTCGATCATCCTATGAATCAGATTATTGGGTTCGAAATATGTCAAATGGGAATGGTCTTCGATCACCCTATGAATCCGGTTATGGGGTTCAAACTATGTCAGATGGAAATGGGCTTAGGGCAAGATCTGTGAATGTATTTGAAGCTGACAGTTTGTCGTCTTTGTACAATAACAATAACAATAATAACAACAATGTCTACCGATCGCGACAGCGTCTGAACTTGACATCTTTGGAAGATTTGAAGGGTAGGTTGTTCTCGGTGACTAAGGATCAACATGGGTGTCGTTTCTTGCAGCAGAAGATTGAGGAAGGGAATCCAGAAGAAATTGAGATAATTTTCTCTGAGTTGAAAGGTCATGTGTGTGAGTTGATGATACATCAGTTCGGAAATTATCTTATGCAGAAGTTTTTTGAAGTGTGCAACAAAGATCAAATGACTGAAGCACTTCTTTCAGTGATCAATAATGATTCTATCCTCATGGACATATGCCTTGATGCACATGGGTATGATTTCCTTAGTCTATTGCTGTACAAACTAAATATCGACCTCCACAAACCCTATAGGCTATAATGACATACGATTTATTTTCTCTCCAATAAGATATAATATCATTTGATCTTTCCCTTGAAATCTATGCTACAACCATTATGCATTATAGGGGTTACATTCGGTATGAAAACTAATAGACAACCACTATGTAGTATAGGGGTTACATTTGGTAGGAAAACTAATAGTATACCACTTCAAAGATTAGCTCGTAAGCAGTGTACAACCATTATGCAGTATAGGGGTTACGTTCGGTATGAAAGCTAATAGTATAGCACTTCTATAAATAGCTCGTAATGCAGTGATTCTCCTGAGACCGGGGTGTCTTGTGGACTGGGATTGTAAAAGTCATTTATTTTTAAACTGTTTCCTCCTCGTGGCAGTACTCGAGCTATGCAGAGTTTGCTGAAGCATTTAAAGACACAGGAGCAAAGGTCTTTGGTGATAGCGGTTATAAGGCGCATCACTGTTCCACTGACCAAGAGCATGAATGGTCATCATGTAATAGATTCTTGTTTGGGGTCTTTCTCTTCAGAAGACAAGAAGGTGAGGCTTAAATAGTCTGGGATAAAAACTCTTGATGTTCAAATTTTCCTACTTAATATTTAATTGTTCAACTATTGGTAATTTTGTGTAATTGGTGATTAGTTGTTTGTAACCTCAAGGGATAGTTTAAGCGGTAATAAAACGTCTCGAGTTTCAATCTTAACATCATAAATACTATAGTTCTGATATAGATAACTTACTTTTAACCGGACTAGAGAGGGGAGTAGTCAATGTGCACATAGTTGTTTGTCCTTTAGTGGAAACTGGGAACTATACATTGTTTGCTTGTTGGTGCTATATGCATAAAATTCTCTTTCCCCTTTCAATAATGAAAACCAATCTTTGGTGGCCTTAAAAGGGGTTTGTTTGGGACTGATTCAAACATTTGAAGATCTTATATTTTAGTTTGATCATAACATTTGGTGATTGACTTCATTTTTTCTTGATAACTTGACACAAAATGCGTGGTAAGATACCGAGCTTCTTTTTGTTTTAACTTTGTACCCAAAATATGTCATTGGACCTGTTTACATGTTTTGTTTACTGTAATTGAGTTGAATGTTCTAGTTGCTCTGTTGGAATTTTCCGTGCTTTTTTGCTCTGTCTTTGGTATACTAAATTCCCATTTTCATTTAGAATATGTTATGCTTTTACAACCCCACCCCAGAAAAAAAAATTTGAGGAACATCAAGAATTATCAAAGCTGTGGATCCTTGTGTTCTAGCAAATGAAAAAGTAATGGCAGTAAGGCCAACAAATGAATAACAATCTTCTTGTTAACAATCCTCGCCGACAATCCTCAGTTCAATGCTATATGAAGATAAAAACCGAGACTGTTAGAGGGTTCATTCTTGTTAAATGAAGTTTCATGATGTTGAAATGACCTTTGACTATAATAAAAGTAGTTTTTACTAATTCGATCATCGGTCATGATCAATCACAGACATTCATGATTAATCGTGAATAATGCGGTATCGATTTCAACATTTTATGATCGATCATGCCTTCTAAAGTTATAACTTACACCTTAAAAAAGTTGTAATTTAACCTTAAAAGATTGAATTGTAATTTTCGGTACCAATACTGCTAATAGTATAGTAAAAGTTCCTCTTCGATCTTGCCCTCAAAATATGTAGTTGGAAATTTTGAATACAATAATTCTGTCAATTTTTCTATGTTTTCTCAATCCGTATTCATTGATAAAAAAATCAGATAGTTCAAGTCATGTTCCGTGGTTTCTAGTAGTATACTCACAAAATATATACTCAAGAGAATAAACTACCTAATCTAATATATAAAGCATAAACTACCTTCAACGTACACCTACGGAGGCTTCTCTCTGCATTATATCAGGTGAAGAACTTGAAAGTAATTGTATTTAGGAACCAGAGATACTCACCTTTACCGGTGAATTTTTTTTCTGTTTGACATCATTTGATATGATACACTGACCAGAGTTATTTGCTTGTTTTTTTTGACTAAATAGTTTTTTTTTTTGCACAGCATATTCTGAATGTTGTAGCTGACAATTGTCTTGATATTGCAACGGACAAAAGTGGGTGTTGTGTGTTGCAACAATGTGTGGCTCATGCTCGAGGAGAACCAAAGCAGCGTCTTGTGGCTGAAATAACAGCTAATGCATCGGTCTTAGCGGAGCATCCTTTTGGGTTTGCCTCTCTCTTTCTTTCCTTAGAGTTGAAACCATCTTTGCCTCGCTTTTAGTAAAAACTAGTGATTTAAACATTCTATCTGACAACTTGTTCTAATTGTCCCTAAATAGCTTAACCTTTTTCTATTAGAGTGAGTTACACCATGATATATGAAAAATTACGTGTCTAAATTTATTTTTTGATATGGTATCGAAAAATAACTCTCATTTGTATAAAAGGGTCTGATTGTCTCTAATATGCTATACTCATATTTGTATATAAGTTTTGAGGAGGGAACAAAGCATAGGATGTTTTCAAATCATCCCTCCAATGCTAGAACAAATAGTAATATGTTTATTTTTCCATCTTCAGGAACTATGTTGTGCAGTATATAATTGGAATGAAGATACCGCATGTTACAGCGGATATTCTATCTCAACTTAAGGGGAATTATTTTTCTCTCTCCTTGAGCAAATATGGGAGCAATGTGGTAGAGAAAGGTCTGAAAGAATCTGGGGAAGACCAGGCAATGAAAATCATCGATGAGATTGTTAGTCATCCAAACTTTTTGACTGTTCTCCAGGATCAATATGGAAATTACGTCGCTCAATCTGCCTTGGCAGTATCTAAGGTTTGATCACTTGCACAAAACTATTCAGACTTACTTGATTCATATTCCAAAACTTAGCAAACTCTTTGAGCATTTTTTCTCGAAAAATTTGATTAAATATGCAAACTATGAATTATGAAGTATAGTCCTTGTTCTGTTCTTGCATTGCATTATTGAAGATTTCCCTTATTCTGACTCAGTGACTCGTTTTCTCTCTTAACCATGACAATGCAGGGGGCTATTCACTATAAACTGATTACAACCATTCAAAGTCATTATGCGGTCTTGCATAGCCATCCATTTGGGAAAAGGGTGCTGGCAAAAGCCCGAGGGAGCAAGCATCGTATATATGCATAGCATATATATGACTGGACTCTTGTTTTATGTTGTTGGTTAATGAATAACTTGTTAGATTTAGAGTTGTTTGTTTGTTTGTTTGTTTGTTTGTAACTTTGCTTGGTGGAAGACTATTGTGCTACATACAATCTGCTCTGCTTGCAGCTTTTCTTATTAAAGTTCTTTATTTTGTAAGCTGTTAGAACGGATGTAAACTTACTGTGTTCCTAGAATCGTAGATTCTCGGGGATTTCCACTTTCCATTTTTGCTTGTCATCTATGCTATTAGTTAATGAATATGTGGGGGTTAGGTGTCCACCCGAGAAATATTTATAATACCATTCTTTTTTTTTTTTTTCTACTTTAACCATTTATAACTTTACTTTTAATTGCATTATCAACTGCAAGTACTTACCTATAACTCTCATAACCACCTTGAGTTATTCATTCTAGTCTATTTCACTCTTCCTCCTTCCTATTTGCATAGTGTATCTCATTCTAGTCTCTTTTCACTCTTCGTCCTTCATATTTACATAGGGTATCTCATTCTAGTCTCTTTTCACTCTTTTTCCTTGCTATTTGCATAGGGTATCGTGTGTACATGACTCCTAATATACAATTAAACTAGAGCCTTGAGTTATCAACAATATGATAACTATATATGTGGATTCATTTCGTGGAGAAACTCTGGTTTCCCTTTAGTTATAAGTTCTCCTTTATGAGTGAGGATGTCGACCTGTTTAACAAGGTGAGTAGGAATGGAGACAAAAAAGAGAGAAGAGACATGAGCTTTCATGCTTACAATACACAACACAAACACGAGATATCCATATCTAGTACTAGTTTCCCATACAAGCCTTAAAAAAAATTGAGATATGTAAGTTGAGGTTGTTTTGGAAGTGCAACAATAACACAACAAACCAGATGCCACAATAGCCCCAACACAAGTTCCACACAGAATAAGATAAAGGGCTTTCAGATTTTTAATAATTTGCAAAACAAGTCAATACAGGTGCTATCAGCATCATGATAACATTAGGTCTCAATGGAGTAACATCAATCTTACATAGCACAACCGAAGTTGTGACCTCACACAACCTCAGATGATAATGGCACTCATCTGAGTGCGGTAGCATATGGAATTGGAAATTCTTGAAATGTAAGACAGAATGCATGGTGATGACAAACATTGTAGCCACTTGCCCGCCAGAAAGGCAGAACAACCACTACGTAGGCAATCTACCTCTATTCTGAATCCGACGAGTGTGTGCTTTGCCGGACACCCCTGGTTTGAACGCGAGATTTCGTTGGGTTTAGAGATGATTCACCCTCAAAAATGATGACTTGAGCTTTAGCCAACCTCTCTTCCAGTTCCCCTGTGCTGAAATCATCTGTCCCACCAAGCTCATCAAATCCTACCTAAATTGCATTTAGCAGGGGTTTTAGTTACGACAACATTAAGTTGAGGAACAAAAATCACCTTAATATTATGTTATTAGTTCGTATTTCCTTAAGACATACCACATAATCATCCACTTTGGCATTATTTACCAAGGCAAGGGTGGGAAGTACAACAATCTTAAGCTTCTCGGCCAAGAATGGACTTTTCTCAGCTTGAATTTTTACGAAACGCGTCTCAATGTGCTGCTTTGCTAATATACTTAAATGCTTATCCATCACCTACAAGTGAAAGGTAAACATTATTGTCACTCATAAAAAAAAAAAAAGAACATTCACGAAACCAAAAAAATTGTGCATTACAAGAAAGTTTTAAAAACTATGGAAGCTGTTTTATTCTGTCACAGAATAATAGGGCCAACTTATCATTATAATACTAAATTATTCAACTCTTCTGATGCTTTTACAGCAGAAACATTAGAACAACAGTCTAATAACTAGATGGGGAAGTACAAGGAGATGCAATAATAATATACACAAGTAGTTGTCCATTGGCAGCGAACAATATTTGAACATGGGTTGTTCCCCATTCCAAATTGATTGAGCATAGAGAACTGATATGGACCATGCCATCCATAAACATAGCCATGGATAACTGACAGCCAGTGCTAATAGGTTACAAAACTAACAACCGTCATTCTAAGTGTAAATCAGATATGCAGTGTCTAAACTCTAAACCAATAACCCAAGAATAAAACTAATAATTAAAAAAAGAAAAGGAATGAAAAGCAACTCTGTCTGATGCTCTTTGCGCCAACCATGATGATGGTCTTGGAAGCATTGAAGCTTGCTTCAACTCCAGCGTTTTCCCAGGTTGCTTTGGTTATTTTTTCCATTGAAAAGGAGTCAGCCGTCTAAATGAGTCACCTTCGCCTAGGCTCGTCTGGATAACATGCCATTCTCATTCAACAAGCGTTTCCTATTTTTACATATTATAAAATCAAGAAAAAGCTCTCTTGTGGCATTCTGAAGTAGATGATATTTAAATGTTTCATATCCTGTTCTCAGTCTGAGTCTACAGAGTGGGTACCAAGGCCACTATAACACAAGAGTGCCACCTAAAAATCTTTAAAAGTTAAAAACTAACGGAATAGAACAATAAAGAAATAGGGCAGGTAAGAACCCTCATTTGCAACTTGGATATATACACATTAGATTAAACCCTTCCAAGGTGTATATAAACACGTTTATCAGCTGACTAAGCTGTTGGTTTAGAAGGAAGTTTCAGTCATCCACCTTGGCAGCCTTCATCAGAAGTTTCACTCAACTCCAACTTAAAATTTTCTTTCATTGCATTCTCGATTCCCTTTTTATACTTTTAATTGTTTTAAAATACTACTTCCCATTACTAAGCTCTATCTCACAATCTTTGCTCTCTATTTTGATGCATTATCCTTCTTTATCCCTCTTTCATCCCCTGTTAACACTTCTCTGACAGTTTGCCTGGTATGAAGGATGCAAAAAACTAAAATCATCTCTAAGAAAAGGAAGCCATCTTTTTTCATTCATTTTTGCTTGACTGGGCACAAAAGAAAGGACAAATACCCTTGGTAATTGCTTTATTTTACCCGTATACCTCAGAGATGTTAATGTTTCAGGGGCAAACAATAAAATCACATGTCTATATCCTCGAACACTTTTGGTTAAAAAGAATGGGGTTAAAAAAACTCATTGTCCCTTTGGCCCAAGGTTGAATTTGCTTCTAAACTAAATTTTTTCCCCTCAAATTTGCCCTCAAACTTTGACAAATGTAGTGATGGCATCCTTCCACTCCAATCCATTGCACAATAAGATGATAAACCAACATGCCACAGATGTAAGATTAATAGTTGGGGTATTTACGCTACAACAGCAAAAAAATGAACCCTTCCCAATAGAGTTGACTAAATACCTTCTTTTTACCAATTCACCCTCTATGTCCAAACCGAGCCAACCAACACCACCGTAGAAACAACCATGACCACCACCGTTCCCTCTGCCTCCCTCCCTCCCTCCCTCTCTCTCACTGCCCAAACCTATCTCCACCATCTAAACAAATACTACACAATCACCCAAAATGACAATATTCAACCACCATCTTGGCATCTCCACCACCTTTTCTCTTCAACCTAGCAAACACAGTAACCGCTACATAAACCCACTGACTGCATCCTCTCTTCCAACAAACTGCAAAGTAAATCACACTAATCCACCATCATTTGTTCTTTCTGCAACACCACACCCTGTCAACCCAAAACCATTATCAAAACCACCCAATAATCAAAATAACTTTACCTAAAATTGTTGGTTCTATATGCATTTCACCACCAATAAAGCCTTCCAATCAATCTCCATTTTAATCGTGACTGATAAGCATTAACACATGACCACCATAGTTGAAACCACAATTAGGGACGAATCAGGAATTTATTATGAGGGAGCCAAATAATGACATAAGCAACAAATTTTATCCAACTTGAAATTCAACAAGTTATTCTGGTGCATAAAACCTATCAAAATCAACTTTCATGAGATCATACCATCGTCAAAATTAGTTTGCCATAAAATCCGAAAATTAATTCTTACCTATCCAATCATTGAACAACATGAAACAAATTTTGAATTTTGACAATGACACGTGGAACTTCGTTTTAATTTTGATTTAGCAAGAATTTACATTTTTTTTCCAAATATTTTGCTTAGTCAATACTACCACATTTTTTGCTTAATTCAGTTGGTCTGGCATTAGAATTTTGATATAAGCCACATTATTAACCCAATTTTGTAGGAATTACCATTTTTTTTCCTTTAGTCATTATTCATTAAACTCATCAACGCAAGTGTATTTGCTTGTAAAAAAAACACTCATCCACGTGATTACATACCCAATTTGGTCATTCGATATCAACCATATATATATATATATATGTATGTATATATATGTATTTATGAAAACATAAGGGGAATAATATGGATTTTTGAAAATTTCAGAGGGTTAAAGGCTTTTTTGAAAATATGAGGGGCAACATGGCCCCTCTTGGCCTATAGATGGTTCCATCCATGGCCACAATCAACGACCCATCCAACCTGCAGGGAAAAAACGGTGGTGCTGAATTTGATGGTAGTATCTGCAATAGCTGGCTCTGGTGATCGTTTTGATGGTGGGCGTGGGTGGTCGCAATTATTGATGCAGGTGTGGCGGTGGTGTTGTCAATGGATATGGGATCACTTAAACATTGTCAAAATTGTAACTTCTTTTTGTTAGCTATTAATATGATACAGCTTGTAGAAAACAACACAAGCACATTTAAGAAATCATGCTATTAGTGTCCTTCTATACTCTATGGCAGTAAGATCTCGTAAAAAAAACACACCCACACACATATTCTAGCTCCCATTTGACCCTAAACCCCAATCGACCATAGTATAGTGTAGAGAACCAAACTTAGAATAAGAAATTATCAACAATAGCCTCTAAAAACCTCATCTTTCCAAATGAGAACAAGCAAAAATGATTTCAGGCTCCAATTCTCCTTCCTTTTCCTCTTATTTCAGCCACCAACCAAACAATGCAATTCAAATCCCCAAAAAAAAACCATATCATTCTAAATCAGAAAAACATAATTTACATTATATATTTACCTTACAAGGCCAGTTTTCACGATAGAAATGGCAGACGACGCGCTCACTGGCCTTAACGACGGAGAAGAATTCCTTTTCGGTGGGGATCTCAGAATACTCGCCTTGACCGAGTGAAATCCAACGGCTACGCTTCTCCGCCATTTTCTTCATCTGTTGCAACCTTCGTTCTCTTAATGCCTCGATATCGTCAAGGTCGAGCCGATCTAGGGCATGAATTTCGTCATCGAGCTTGTCTTCGACGGCTTTGACCACTGTAAGAACTTGCTTCTCTAGGATCTGCAGATAACAAAATTAGTAACATAAAAATGTGTATAATAGTACATGTGGAGAGAGAATTCCAATTCGACAGAGAGATGTAATACCTCTTGAACCTTCGGATTATCCATTGATGAAATGCTCCTAATGTCACACTCGCAGCGTCTCAGAAATTTTTTTCAAAATCAAAATGAGAGAGAAGAGAGGTCAGTTGATTTCTGTTCTTTACCTTTCGTCCTTTTTTCCTGGAGCAATCCTAGAGAGTTGGGCCAAAAAGGGCTGGATAAGTGGTTGGGTTGGCATGAGAAAGGGAAAAAATATGGCCCATCTAAGGAAGATCGGCCCAATTGTGTATGTGGATGGACTTCCAATACTATTTAGAGAAATTTGGATTTTTGTCCTATATGAACTTGTTTGGATTTAAGTCCGTCAAAGAAACTTATTTGTTATGAAATCAATTTTTTTGTTAATTTTACTATACTATCTTTTCCTTTTAAAAGTGAAATAAAACTAAAAATTAAAAACTCCTAAATCTTAGGAGTTTGACTAACATTAAAAGTTTTTCTCTCTCATATTTATTTATATTCATATATAGGTTAAGAGTTTAATTAATATTAGAATTCTCTCTCTCTCTCTCTCTCTCTCTCTCTTATCTATCTATATCCACACACACACACACACAGATATATATAGTAAACATTCAAAATAAAAAATAGTAACATTCAAAATAATAGTAATAACATGTTCAAAATAATAGTAACATGAACAGTAATATACTCAACTAAAGTAGTAATATAATAAAAAAAATAGTAACATAAATTTGAATATATCGGTTAGGTATATATATATATATATGACCAATAAAAAATCTTAACCATATATATTTTAACCATTAAAATATTTTATCTCTCTCTTATATGTATATATTCATATATTGGTCATGTATATATATAGTAACATTCAAAATAATAGTAACATGAACAGTAACATACTCAACAAAGTAGTAACATAATAAAAAAATAGTATCATGAATTTGAATATATATATATATATATATATTTTCTCATGACCAATAAAAAATCTTAACCATTAAAATCTTTTCTCTCTCATATCTATCTATATCCATATATAGGTTAGGTGTATATATATATATTTGGCTATCACTTTCCTCGCCATATATATATTTGCATATGTATATTCGACTATCATTTTCCTCACCATATATATATTTGCACGCACACACACACACACACACACACACACACATATATATATATATATATATATATATATATATATATAGAGAGAGAGAGAGAGAGAGAGAGAGAGTTTTGAATTCGAATTTTAAATTTATGATGGAGATTTTATTGACATTGAATTAAGGGACAACAATTTTCAAAATAAAAATTAATTTAACTTCCTTTCAAGGAAGGGTATTTTTGAGATAAAAAAAAATGGACTTAAGTCATTACATATAATTTTAAACATGGACTTAACTCTTTATAAGTTTTCTTACAGGATTTGTCTTCAAACAAGTACATTTAGGAGGACTTACTTCTAATTTTCACTACTATTTAAACCTAATTCAGGAAAATTTAACTCATTGTAATTATTAAATTAATTAGAGTAATATTAGATGAACTTAAAAATTAGACTTGATAATCTCAATTATTGAATAGATAGTAGATTTTAATAAATGCTGGGACCCACAATAAAATTAATGATTGAGATTACCGAGTATAATCTTTAACTCCATATAACATTACTCAATTAATTATGAATCTTAATGTTAGATCGGACCAAATCTTCATCCAACATCTATAATGAACTAGAGTACTGATATGTATTCCAAATTTATAACTCAAATTTACATCTCAAATCAAGGAGGATCATTGGATCAATGAGTCCTATTTAAAAAAATTGATGCGATCCACTAATCCAATAATTCTCTTTAATTTAAAATACAAATTTGAGTTACATAGCAATAATTAATAAAATAGGTCCCCAAATTAATGACGTATTTAATAGAGTGGATAGAAAAAGCAGAATGATTGAAAGTGTGAATGGAATGATTCAAGGAATCTTTTCTTTCTTTATTCGTATTTGACTACTGTATTTTTGTTTTTGGTAAAAAAAAAATTATGGAAGGATGTAAATACATACTTTATTATTGTATTCATTTATGAACTTAAAGCTTACATATTATATGTAATAGATAAATAAAATATTTACATATATAATAATATAAAGCTAAGTAATATTCATTTTTACACAAATAATTAATTTTTTATCTATTTTTTCTTTTAATTTTAGAGTAATAGATTTTTGTGAATTAAAAAGAAAGTTAATTCTTTCTTCCCATTTTTCTTACTTATCAAAGATTCTGTTTTATTTATCTTTTTTGAATTTTTATCTTTTTATTTTTTTATCGTAGCAAAGATAACATATGTATTTAAATTAAATTCAAGTGGCATGTTTTTTTATTCGTAATTTGTAGGTATCAATTACTCTGGCTTTTAGCCTTTGGAACCAATGAAACCCTAAAATCACTCATCCGTTCAAACTCTTTTGTCCATCTCATCTAAAATCCTTGAATCTGTGAATCTAGAGCCAGAGACCTAACCGCTCTAGATGACATTTAGTGATGGATGTAGACCCATCGAATAGCGATAATCGTTCCGATACTGGGAGAGGTAGCGATCATTCTCAAAAATCAAAAAAACTAAGTTGAGAGAAACCCTATGAGTAATTGAAACGATGGCAGGAAGGCCTTGATCTATCAATAGAGGCAGGGCTTCGGAAAGGAAGTAAGGTCTTAAGTCACTATTCTTAACGTTGCACCCTCATGGAAAGAGAATTTATACTTTAAGCAAGGAAAATTTGAGGAATATTGTGATGATCACAAATGAGGGGTATAACATGGTCGAAATCGCTCAATATGAAATATTGAATTGAGTTGCCTGGAAACGTCTCTATTGCTTGAATGAGGGTAAGTCATTGACTCATTGGCTTACATACCACAAAGCATAGGATGATGGGAAAATAACAGCAATATAAACATGAAAATTGCTTCATTCTCTCAAACGATCAAGGCTAGTAAAAGAAAAGAAGACCCAACTGGATCCCTTTTTCAGGAGATCTAACCACGTCTAACATCTTTATTACATTCTAATTAAGACCTCATTTAATCGTTCCCTCTCTCTCTCTCTCTCTCCGATGAAGACTATATTTGTTTAAGGACACTTGGGCTTGCCCTGGGAGCTCCTCATGTCCCTGTAGCAAGGGCATTCATGCTTGTTCCCATAAGTCCCTGAAGGAACACACATGCACTTTTGACAGCATATCCCACAGTACTTCAAGCACCGATCAATCACACTTGCCTTCTTGCACCTTGCCTTGCACCTACCACCACAAAACACTGCACAAAAAAAAACCACAAAAAAAGTGTCAAATAATAACACAACTGAACATGTAAAACTACACGTCATTAGTTCGAGTTTCATTAATAGCAGTAGCCAACAAAGAACGATCGTACAACTACATGTCATTAGTTCAAGCAAGGACGGACTCAAGACTCTATCTCAAAGTGATCAAACAATAGCATAGTTAACAAGTTTATTGACTAACTAAATGCATTAAGCGAACTGTCTATACATAAGTCTTTTAGAAACCTAATGGGAAACATACAACATTTGTAATACTTATGGGGTGTTATAGGAATTTTTGAAAATGTGAGGAGGTGATGGCCCACCCTTAGGCCCTTCCTAATTTCGTTCATGAGTTCAAGTTTCATTTGGTGAGCATAATAACACCATTAAATATCCAAAAATACCAGTTTCATTATGACATGGTGCTGAAAAAGAATTCTTGTTTATTTTTAAACAAGAAAAGTGTTCATACCTGAATTGTCCAAGGTGGCTTCAATGAAAGAAGTGCTAAGCAGAAGAGCAAGGAGTAGTAGAGTAGCAAAGAAGAGCTTCTTCATCTTGCTTGCTCGAGTGTGGGAGTTGCAGAAAGAGACTGAGCAATGAGGCTTCAAGAGGAAGTGCAATGAGGCTGTGCGACTGTGAATTGAGTGGGTACATATAGAGAGGGTCACACAGTGAATATTGTGCTGCATCATCAGCGTTTAGTCTTTTTTTTTTTTAAAGTTACTTGTTTTATAAATGAGCAGATATGATACAAAATAATTAATAAATAAATTTGACATATTTAAAGTCAATCAAAATAAATACACAAATACGATTTGATGTATATATCGATTATACATGACATAAATCTGATATAACATGATTCATTATGTATAAATTAATAAACAATTCGAGTATAAATAGAATATTTTTTAACAAGAACTCGTTAAGACTCCGCACAAACTCACGTTACTCAACACGATTGACAAGTTTAATTCAAATTGTCTCTATTACATTTTCACTCAATTTCACTAAATTATAAATCATTTATCATATATAAGTGGGAGACCCACTAATAAATTGCGAGTCTCATGTGTAATAATTATAAATAATTTATTATTAATTAAAATTAAGTGAAATAATTATAAATAATTTATTATTAATTAAAATTAAGTGAAATAATTATAAATAATTTATTATTAATTAAAATTAAGTGAAATAATTATAAATAATTTATTATTAATTAAAATTAAGTGAAATAATTATAAATAATTTATTATTAATTAAAATTAAGTGAAAGTATGATAAAAAAAATTATATCTCATCATACTTGATACTATAATATTATAATCATAGAATTCACCTTGATAATTATTATTATTGTTTTTTTGACAGAGATAATTATTATTGATCGGTCATAGAATATATGAAATTAATATCCCAGCTGTAATGAATATGTATTGGGATACAAATATTTTTCTGTGGGCATGACAGCTGTGAGTTAAGGCTGTACACGCGGTTACTGCAGGCTGAGGACGTTGCTATCAGCTTCTGTCACAATTATGTTCATAGGGTTCTGCATGGGAATTGATTGACTTGGTCCATTATTGCCATTGGTTGGATGCTAAATTCAATGTTTTGAGAACTGTGTCCATCGTGCTACTTGATGAAAATATTAGGCTTAAACCTAAAAATTAGACTCAATAATTTCAAACCATTGAATAGGCAGTGAGTTCTAATAAATATTGAGACCTATAATAAAATTAATGATTGAGATTATCAAATCTAATTTTTAAATTTACTTTTTAAGTTCATGTATCATTACTCAAAATATTATACAACTTAAATAAAATTTAAAAATTATTATTTAAATGCATACAATATTTTAGATAACACGAGATCTGATTTATCTTTATCTTATATATGTTTTTACAGTCTAACTTGTCTGTATTCAATACCAAGAACTAATAAGAACATGTAGGCCCGTTTAAATGCCGTATTAAAAATAAATAAATTAGATAAATTAATATAGTCTAATACAATAGAAATCAGTTAAAGATAAGATTAAATATAGTATTAAAATAATACGTAATTTTATTTAATATTTAATAATACACAATATAAGCATTAGATAGTTGTTATTTAATCTAATCGGTTGTTTGGTTAAAAAATTATTTCATCGTATTAATGTTAAATTAATAAAAAATATCTTCAATCAGTGTTTGTTACATTGATGACAACTTAATTTTATCTGTTGGAGGGTTATAATAATAACTGTGTAGAATAATACATTTGCATTAGATTATAATAACACCTCTCTTGGTGCTATTTAAGTATTAGGCTTGATTAAATAAAGAATAATACAATCAAATATTTAATCTCATCCTAATACGTCTACCAAACAAACCCTAGTGTATGAACTCATTTGTATTTATTTTGTGTACATTTTTGATCAAAATTTTTCTTTTAAATTGAATTTTATCACATCCGAATAGAGAGAATCAAACAGTTATGTCTAGGGCTGTTAATTTTCAACACGAACTTAATGGGTTAGACATAAAATTAAACTGGTGAATGGATAAAAATAGGTCAATACGCTTAAAAAAAAAAATTATGTCGAGTTCATATCAAAAAATATTTTAATCTGATTAATCAGTATATTTTAAACTTATGTGCTTGTTTATAAAAATGGGCTGCCCCAAACTATATCCAGACAAATTAAACTGAATTGCACATTTTAAAAAGAGGCTCAGGAACTTTAATTTGCGCTGAGGTTGAGCACCGCAAGCCCGAATTACTCAAACGTATTGGGCCTCTCACTTTACTAGCCCAAGCTTCAGCTCCAAAATCTTCAGGACCTATAGGTGTTATGCAGAGACAGACCCAAGATAAAGATTCTATTTTAAAGCAGCCGAACATAGTCAACAATTTAGAACAAAAAAATTACACCTATTGAATTTGAATCTTATTAATTTATTGACTTTAGGTTATGAAAAATTTATATATCATAAATACCTTAGTTTAAGCGTGGATGACTGCCTTTGACCAGACCAAAGAAAGGATTAATCGAAATGTGCGTAAATTAGTGCGGACACCCTTTACCGAACTAAAAGAAAAACTTAGAATAAATTATCCTCACAAATCATAGTTTCGCATGATAAGAAAGTAGAAGTGAGTCGTGTGTTAACACAATACTTTTGAAATAAGCCAAATTTATAATCTAATTTTACAAAAAAATTGCACTTTTTTTTTATTTTCCTTTGATCATCAAACTCGTCCAACCAAAAATATTTAGTTATAAAGTTGTTATTCATCCATGAGGTTACATCTTCCATTTGGCTATTAAATTTCAATTTATTGGCATTTTCAAATTCATTTCAAGTGAATTATCCATGTATAATTCTTTCAGAAACCTAATGGGAAACATAGAATTTTTTTTTAATCTTTTGGGGTGTTATAAGAATTCTTGAAAATGTGAGGGGGTCATGGCCCCCTTAGCCCCTTCTTAGTTCCATCAATGGTGTTATGCAAAAGCCAAAACTCAAGGGATGATTTGTCATGTTTTTGAGGTACGAGTGATTTAATGATAAAAATTAGAAAGGTGTGAGTATAATTCATCCCGAAGATAATTAGACATGAGAAAATAGCTGAAAAAAGCTCTAGCAGCTTTGGAGAACTAATTGATATGTTGCAAGAACAAAAAACCTAGATGAGATGACATTGAATTGACATTTTTTTCACAAAAAAAAAAAAAAAAAAAAATTCAAAAGTAGACGGTCGGTGCAAATATAGAATTTTTTTTCTCAATGACAAGAAATATCTCATTTTTTTGTTTAACATATTTATGTCAGCTTACGTACACATTGACTAATTTTCTTTCCGATTTGATCAAAAATAAATCATTCACGCTGAGAGTAAGATATTTATGAGGGATGACCTGGTCTCAAGAGATTGTCAAGATTTAAATTTAAGACGTCTAGATTTACGGATTATTTTTATTATCGCTTGAACTAATTTTTGAAGTTATGAAAAAAAAATTTCAATATTATGAAAGTCTCAAAAGTAGAAAAAAAAATGTAGAAGAATAATTCATTGTGGTCATGCTTCCTTAGTCTCTGTCAATTGTAAGGTAGACAGCTCCAACTTGATAAATGGCCATCTTGATCAATGCTTTTTAAGTAGTCTCTTCTTTAGTTTCTTCAAAGTAAAAGGTATAAAGAGGGCTCGCCACCATGAACTTACCGACCAAGCTTTTCAAAGCACAATCTCTCCCTCTCTCTCTCTCATGGATGGATTTGTACTTCACGTGCAATGCAGCGTAAAAAGAAGGTTGCTGTGGCAGGTCAATAAGGCATCAAAGCTGGGGATCCATGGAAGCTCTGCTTTATGCTCTTTGACAGAGTCATACAGTTTACTTTGTTGGGGTAGAAAGGAACATAAGGAACAATCGATGTTTCCCTTTTAAGTTTGGATAAAATAACAGGCCAAGACTGCCTAGTATCCACGAATATATTTACCCACCCCCTCTTCTCTTCCCAGTCATAGAACTGGAAGAAAAAAAAATATAAAGGTCATCTATAGTGAAATAAAATTGCTTTCTTCTTGTAATCTCGTGTCTATGAAACTATTACATGTGCAACTTAAACGGATTAAATGGATTGTTACAAGAGCTCGACCTATTCCTCATCTTCTTTTCGAGAAATTCAAGAAAAATAGAAAGTGCTTGAAGCGATTAAAGCCTTGCTTATAATAGGAGATCTTGATTTCATAAAAAAATTGTATACATGAACCAAGCTAGGGATTCGTGCCTTGATTGCCGATGAAAGCCATAGCCCTTTAATCGTTTAGGAGAGCCGGCCTTCATTAGTAAAAGTCTTTTTTTACTTGCTATTTTTCTATCTCGAGTTATTCCTCGTGATCCACCTATGAGATCGTTTGCACTAGCTTTGGATTGAGCTAGATCGGCCATATAATTAAAGGAAAGAATAGAGACATAACGAGAGACTCTCCATTTAATATGAATCCAAAAAAACCTTCAACTCGAATTCACTTCAAATTTAACCCCGAAACTTTGTTTAACATGCCCCCACTGGGCAGTTATAGCTCATCTGTTCAATCACTATAGCCCTCTTCCTATATGGTTTGCTAAAAAATATGAAAAAGTGGTATTGATTGGGTGGTTGAGAACTACCAGATTAAGATAGTTTTGTTGGGATGACTTACATGGGCAGCATGGTGTATCTGCAGTATGACATACTTAGCCGCCTACACATGTGAAAACCTCGCACCATAGTGATTGTTTATATAAACTCACGTCTTTTAATGTAGAACGTCTTTTGTCAAGATTTTATTTTATTTTATTGAAAAAACATGAGTTTTGAACCACGTTTACAAGTAACTATGATAGTTTAGAAAATAAGTAAGGAAATATAGTAACGAGATAAAAAATACAAAATTATGGTAGTGCAACTGTACCTTTGATACATTATATCTTCAGGTAGAGTGTTTATTGAGGTGTGTTATGTGCACATGTGTTCTCCTGAGTAATAATTTGAGATAGCGGCACTAAGGTGAGGCCGCTCCTGAATCCTACAAATAAGGAACAGGGTTGGAATTGGTTGAAGACGTGT